GGTCTATTTGTTTATTTCTGCACTAATATGTGCTATCTTAATTACTATTAAAAGCAAGCTTTGTGATTCTATCTTTCATCAGGAGTATCTTGATTTCTGACACTGTACTTCCATATAAATTTTAGAAATAACTTGTAAATTTCCACATAACTCCCATTTGGAAACTTAAAATTGTGTTAAATCTATTCATCTGTTGAGGAAAATGGACATATTTAAAATATTAACTCTCTACATTGGTATTACCCTACATTTATTTAAGTTTTTAAAAAATGTTTTAACTTTATAATTAAACATTTTTTTTGTCCTGTTTCTCCCTAAATATCTAACATTTTTATTGTATTTATTCCTTAAAGCCTCATTTATTTATGCTATTAAAAATGTTCTTTTTCACGAGTATTTTTCTATCTACCATTTGTTGCTAGTGTGTGGCAATTGTTTTTACGTCCACTGGCTCTTCTAAAATTTATCTATGGAATCTTCTTTCCTCTCCTGGTAATTATTTCATCTTTAAACGTGAAATTTTTTTCCCATCTTATAGTTTTTCTTTCTCATGCTTAAATGTATTGGTTAGTATTGGCAAAAAACAAGTAGATGTGTTTAGAGCACGCATCCTTGTCATGTTGCCAAACTTAAAGGGGATGCACTTGAACTTTCAGTGTCATGTTTACTATATTTTGTAATATACCCTTCATATTCTTTTAAAACTTCATTTATTTTTAGAGAGAGAGGAAGGGAGTTGGAAAGAGAGGGAACAAAACATCATTCTGAGAAACATTGATTGGTTGCCCCGAGTACACGCCACGACCAGGACCAAACCCCCAACCTAGGTATGTGCCCTGGTGGGGTTAGAGCCAGCCACCTTTCTCGTTGCAGGACGCCACCCAACCAAATGAGCCACACTGGTCAGGGCAACCTTTCATATTTTAAAAATTATTTTCTGCTTCTTCCTTACCAAGAGTTTTTTCATCAACAGATGTTGGATTTTATCAAATGCTTTTCCTGCATCAACTTAGATGATCACGATTCTGATTTTCATCTATTAATGTGACAAACTATATTACTTAAAAAAATAAAATCAAATAATCCAACAGTTATTATACCATTCTCCTGTGCTCCAAGAAGGAAGGAAAAAACAGCTGTCTATTGAATATTCTAATTTAAAATATGGTAAAGAAAAAAAATGGGCACCTTGGAATTGATAAAAATGCAAAGTGAAGTGTAAAGGTAAAACTGCCATGTATTCCTGGGATTAAACAGATTTATTCAGCTTTTTAATAACTGCTGGCTTTAACTTGCTAATATTTTGCCTATTCGAGTGAGATTGGTTGTAACTTTCATTTTTGTACTGTCATATTTTAGTAATGATTTTTATCTATTTTGTGTAAAATTGGAATTTTTTTTTCTGAATGTTTAGTAAAACTACTAAACCTGTCTAGGTTTGGTGCTTTATTTTGGGGGAAGGATTTTGACTATTGATTGAATTTCTTAAAAGGTTAAAGGAACATGATTTATCTTCTTGAGCCTATCTGCTACTTCAAAGACTATATCCATTTCACCAAAGTTTTCAAATAATGGCAAGAATTTAATTTTCTCTTAATATTTTAAACTCAATGCATATTATGTTTATTTAATTCTTCATATTGTTTAGTTATACCATCTTCTATCCTTGATCAAGCTCATCTGTCAATTTTACTATATTTTGAATCCCCAACTTCAGGCTTTCCTAATTCTCTCATGGTATGGTTTTCTTCTGTTAGCTTTCTTTCCTTCCTTCTTTCAGTTGAAAGTTTAGCTAAATGTTCAGATTCATTTTCTCTAATATAAGCAAGTAATACTTACATTTTCTGCTAAATGCTACCTTAGCAGCATGCCATGTTTCTATATAGTGTTTTCACTATTATGCATTATATCTTGATGTCCATTTGATTCCCCTTTGATCCCTGAGTTATCTGTCTCTAAAGCGTTGGGCTTTTAATGTTCACCTTTATTAATTTTATCCTAAATGTGCACACAAGATGTTCTGAATCAGAGATTTCTCATTACTTCCAAGGGAAGTTCCTCTGCTCCCCTTGTCCCAGCCGTCGCTCTGGGGCTATGTGATGAGTCACAGGATTCCTTCCTGTACAAGTGGGAGGAGTGTCAAGTGAGAACAAGTCCAGAAGTAGATAAAAAAGACTTTTGAAAAACTACTACAATAGGGGGCAGGAAGACTATAGCAACAGGAAGAATGCTCAGACCGTAAGATCTGCAAGCATCTCAAAGAAGAGGTGCAAAGGGACATTTTTTTAAATAAAAGTAAACAGGGCTAGAAAAACCTGGGTGCAAAGGAGGTAAGTGGATGACATGATGGGACAACTAATCAGGGAATATCTGGGGTTTTTTGTGGTCAGTTTTTGGGAGGTGTCGTTGGAAAGGAACTATTCCACATTCCAGTACAAGGGCCTACGGGGGAAAGCCTAAAGTTTACCTAAAGTTAGAGGACATTTCGTTCAGACTGCTCTGTGGGGACAAATAATTTATGAGACAGAGTGAAGGGCCTGAGTCTGTAAACAAAGGGGAAATGAACAGATCTTATTTTAGTCATTTAGGGAAAGGTGGTCCTTTGCCATAAGCCATTTTCTGGAACACAGAGGTTGGAGGGGTTTCTTAACTGTTACTGTTTCCCAGAACACAGCATTCACATAAATTGTCAGTGGCCAGGCACCCCTTGGGCAATGGACAGGGAGGTGGCCTGGGGATTGTTTTACCTGTCACACTACCATCCCTCTAGATTTAGCACATCCTGAGTGGGAATACCCTCTCTGGCATTTGTGAGGGGGCGAATTACAAGTCTCCAGGATGTCTATCCCAGTAACATATGCAAGGTAGAAGCCACGACCACAGTGCATCAGGTTGGTCTCCAGGGCCCTAGCTACAATATGACATTTATCTCCCTCCCTTACAAGTTACTTTGCTCACACCTCAAACTGAAATCAGGTGCCCCTTCTCCCCACTGGACCAAATACGACAGCCACTTGGATATCTATACCCAATAGAGCCATCAAGGTTTGCATCCTGGGTTTCCCTGAGGTCTCCAAAATTTGAACAGGACAGAGAGTCTGAGGTCCTTTGGGAAGAGAGAGGAGATGGCTCCACCTCTAAGGATTTCTCTCCTTAAAAATCCTTTCAGGACATTTTGTCCTGTCCAAAAGGTTCACAGGGGCATCTGACCCATGCCAAAATGTCTTTGCTCGTGGATGTTTTCAATAGGACCAAATATCAAGGCCCTTTTGGCGTGGACCAAATGACCCCATGGGCATTTTGGACAGAACCACATGTTTGCTAATTCTCTCCCCCTAAAGCTGTTTACAAGGCACAAGATCATCATTGCCTATACATCTATTTCAGCTTTGAGACCCCCTGATCCAATAGATAAGCCCATAAAATGTCTAAGAAAAGCTATGGTCTATAACCTTAAAAAATTTTGTTATACAATTTTTATGAATACTTCAGAATGCATATTGTCTTTTTTTTCCCTACAATACCTTAAACTGGGGGGTGGGGAAGGAGAAGGCAATATCAATTATATAAAATTTCTTTCAGGTAGTAGTAGTATTTTAACAGTAGTCAATCCACTAGCTTAAGGCTACCACTTCTACATCCTGTCTCTTGAGCTAATTGTATTGAATACGGTTCAGTATTTTGAAAATTACTTTCTTTTGTGGTTCCTTATCTTTTAGAAACCTCGTGCCAGTGTTTAAAAATAAAATGCATTTTAAGTGATATCAGAGAGAATAAGCCAAACATTTTAAATATCCATTAGTTAGACATCATTTAACATAACTTTAAAAGTTAATGATTCTATGAATTATATTGTAGGAGTTAAAAAATGCCTCTAAGCCAGGAGTGTCCAACCTTTTCGTATCTCTGGGCCACACTGGAAGAGTTGTCTTGGGCCACACACTAAATGCACAAAAACTAACAAAAACTGATGAGCAAATAAATGGTTTTAAGTAAATTTATGATTTTGTGTTGGGCTGCATTCATAGCCATCCTGGGCTGCATGTGGTCCATGGGCCGCAGGTTGGACACCCCTGCTTCTAAGCAGTATTTTTGTAAGAACTGTAGAAGAGCTTTATTATGATGGGAACAATAGGCAATAGATCTCTCATTGTTGTTCTTGCTCTTTCTTAAACTCCAGGTAAGTAATGGATTGCAGGAAATACAGTTCAGGATATCCTGAAGAGTGTAGCCTTTGGAGGTAGACCCAGTTACAACACGGAACACATCTGAACTCCAGCTTTCTAGTGGAGATAATAGTGGAGATCCAAGAAGATCCGAGAGCCGGATGAGTAAGCCTACCTGATAATGCTGACTTAAGTGCTAGCAATAACAAACCAATAACAAATCAATAGAGAAAATCTTACTGAAGTAACTGATGTAGTGGAAGTATGTTCTGCTTAGATTACAATGTAGCAATTGAGGTTGAGAAGTTAACAAGATTAGAAGACAGAACATTTAGATAAATAAAAAGAATGAGAAGGAATAGATGACCCGGGAAACATACTTCACTACTGAAACTAAGGGGAAGAATGAAAAGAAGCAGGTGAAAAGTTATAGGGAAAAAATAGTTTGGAATGAAGAAAAATTCTCACAATAGCATGGAAATTCCATTGACAGAGATGAGGATTTCTTAGTAGAAAAAAGTATGGCGATGAACTAAAATGGATATAAAGTTCTGGAAAAAAGAGGAAAGTGTCCATAAAAGTGACCTAATCTCTTGTCCAACCACACTAATACTCTGTTTCTTAAAAGCAACAGGGTTTCAGAAACTTTCCTTGCTCAAGCTCCAAATTTCTACAACGTTACCGCTAAAGCAGCAGGACACCAGCCTAAGTTGAATGTCCCATATCTCTGTACTCACCACCTCTCATCTGATTTGAGAGATATTTTTTATTTGTAAAATGACTGTAGAAATATGACAAAAGTAGAGACTGAGGTTATGTCACAATAGAATTTTATAGTACATTTAATTATATTATAACCATTAATGCAATAGCTGCCTCAATTTCATTCAGATAATAAAAAATGATGTTACAATGATGATTTAAAGCTGGTTCAATCACAATTTTACAAGCTAATTTATCAAGAGTGAAAATAGAAGATTATTAAAAATAGCTAAAAAGATAACGTGTTATATAGTGCTTAATGTTTCTGTAACGGCTGATAAGGCTTACATCTAAATCTGATGCAGAATTCTTGACAGCACTGAAATAGTACTTTTCTCAGCCACATGGTGTAATGGGCACTATGAGTCTGGAAGAGACTGGCTATGTGTACCACTTCTTGTCTTCAGCTGTGACTGTGCAATGTCAGCAAGTGCACTTTGTATCTTTTCCAGAAGCATGTCCCCTCGATAAACAACATCTTCCAGACATGTAGCAGCTTCATGGTTTTCTTCTTCTAGCTTATACAAGCTAGCAGCCTTTATAAAACACAAATTTAAAAGTCTTTTGAGAAATGGAAAACCTGGAGATTAGTAACAGCTGAGAAGAAACTGCAGCAACATTTACTTTAAATCTGGAGGACTATGCAACCACTGTGATAGATCTTTCAGTAGCAAATATATTCTAAAATCAGGGAACTATTAAAAGCTTCCCCTGTATAAATTATTTAAAAAAAAGAATTTTCATTAGAGATCTGGGATGTCTATATGTGACTCCCTCCAACACTGCTTCTGGACACTATTATTCCACTCCACATCCACAATGCCGTCCTCCTCTCATTCTCTGCTCAGTAAAGAGCCAAAAGGAGAAAAATAGCAAGTGTCCTTATAACTCAAAAGTGGACAGCTATATATACAAATTCAGCACAGTCTTTAACAGAGTACACTAATTCACAATGAATGAAACTCCCATTTTAAAATTTAATCTTAAACTGTAAATGTTATAACAAATGGTAAATCTATCTCCTTTAATTCAAAATTCCCTATTAGCAAAGTACACAAAGGAAGAGAGATTTTTACCTGTAAAGCAGCTGTAGATTCTTCACTTGGCAAGGAATCTATCAAAACATCAATGTCTTTTGCTGTTCGTGCAATCAGTGCTGCAAAAAGCTGGGCGTATTCTAGAGAAAGATACTACTAATTTAGGATATTAGAGCGCAAGTTTTCAGAAACATAAATGAAACATAAAGTTAATTAAACCAGAAAACTTTATATAACTCTTTCTATACTAGACTTTTAATGATTGAAGTGTAACTTTGACACATCAATCCTACTGAGACTTTTGAGAATTACCCTTGATATTAACTCAAATTGGGAAGGAGCCATAACATGTATCACTTACTAGGACAATATGGTGGTCGTTTGAATAAAGAAATCTGTAAACGGCCCTGGCTCGTGTGGCTCAGTGGACAGAGTGCCAGCCTGTGAACCAAAGGGTCACCGGATCAATTCCCCGTCAGGGCATTGCCTGGGTTGTGGGCCAGGACCCCAGTAGGGGGTGCTCAAGAGGCAACCACACATTGATGTTTCTCTCCCTGTCTTTCTCCTTCCCTTCTGCTCTCTCTAAAAATAAATAAATAAAATCTGTTTTAAGAATAAGTTATAAAATTCCCTTTAAAAAAAATCTGTAAGTGGGATGCCTTCCTTATTGAAGTCCAAGAAGTAAAATTCAGTTAAATGCATACAAATTTTCCTCCAAAGGAGTAACAATCGGTTATTTGACATAAACAGAATTACGAAAAGTTATGCTGTGATATTCTCAAACAACAATAACATTTTTAGAAAGCCAAAACTAAGATGAATTTCTCATTAAATCTAATTTAAAAAAATCACAAGTAATATGAGAGTCAAACTAAGAGAAGCTAAGAAAATCTACTTACCTTCTGTAGGATTAGCTGGCTGGTCTTTGTTAATTGTCGTCTGAATATTACTAAACGAGGCCGGAGGGCCACACTGCTGCAGCACCCCGATGGCATTGCAAAACTGATCTGCCAGCTTGAGGCCAAAGAAAACATGTCAAAGTTAGAAAGGACTTACCGAATTTAAGGATTTTATTGGTAATGGCTACAATAAGTTTCTATAATGATGATCTCTGAGCAAGGGAATAAAACAGAAAAAAGTAATTTTTGTATAAAATTAGCCAGTTATTAACAGTGATTAAAAGTTTTAATCATGCTTAAAGAAATCAGGTCTGGTAGCAATCTGCTCGAAACAGTTGAAAAGAAATACAAAATAATCTTTCTTTTCTTCCGAAGTTAACAGAATGGTAAGAGAAATACAGGTCAATGCAGGTTGCAAGCACAAATAAGGACTTTTGGGGGTAGTAGCGGGAGAAAGCAAATTTGCCTGGCAAATATCTAAGTAAGGCTCGAGGATAAATAAAGCCTGTGCGACTCATGTACAAAGTATTGATCCCTTTTCTGAGACCAGGGTAGTTACAAATCTAAAGAAATAGTGGGAAAAAGCACAGTAAGTATTTAGAAATGTTTTTCTTCATGACTCGAATTTGCAAACTCCTGGTGCTCTAAACGTATTTCTTAAGCACTTTTGAAGATTTAGAATACTAATTCCAATGGCAACAAATTCACAACTATCAATAACTGAATCTAAAGAACAAACTAAGCAAACAATCAGAACAGAAACAGAATCATAGATTTGTAGATCATTTGGAGGATTATCAGCTGGGAGGGGGGAGGGGGAGAATTGGTGGACGGATTAAAAAGCATAAATTGGTAGGTACAAAATAGACAGGGGGATGCTAAGAATAGTATAGGAAACGGAGAAGCCAAAGAACTTACTTACAAGCACGACCCAAGGACAAGAGTAAGGGGGAACGGGGCGGGGGGCAGGTGTTGCTGGAGGGAATGGGGGTACTGGGCAGAGAGGGGCAATGGGGGAAAAGAAAAGGTGGGATGACTGTAATAGCATAATCAACAATATATTTTTTAAAAGTGCTAATTTCATACCAGCTCCAAACTTACACTCCTAGCCTCCCCATGAACTTCTATCAATAGTTCTGACCTCTCAAATCTCAATTCCTTATTTCCAATCAGTGAATAAGCATTTCCACTAAACCTCTCTGCCGTTATTTGCATGACAGAACTCAAAGTCAACTGATTCCTTTAACATCTAATTTGTATTGAGTTTCTCCTAGTCAACCACTACAACTTCAGACTCTTTCCTTTCATCTTACATCCTGCTAATACTACAAACCTTTCCCTTTTCTAACATCACTGCTGCTATGCTAGTTCTGCCAGTTATCTCACATCAGAATTTTTACAATAGCCTCCTTACTGTTTCTCGTTCACTATGTTATTTTACCCTGTTCAAAAATTTTTAGCTCACCCAGCATGTTCTCCAAGATAATTCTACAATTCTTCAGGCTGTTTCAAAGCTTTCGATAATCTAAGTCAACCCTACTTAATCATTTTCTACTGCTTCTTGGTATATATCTGATTAGTGGTAAATTAATTCCTGAATACACTACTTTTAATAAATGCTCAGAAGCTGTACAAATGTGAATTCTAATTCTGGTTCGAGTAACTTGAGAAGATATTTTATTTTTAAATTAGGGACATTCTCACAGTACAGCAAAAAATATTCACCACAGTGGCATCTGGTTTGTCCTTCAAAAGCTCTCAAGATCCATGTATTCAATAAATATTTATCGAAAATAAATTTTATGACATGCACTATATATGTATAAACATTATAGGAATGTAGTGACCCAGACAGCTTCTGCCCTTCAATAGTTCTCAGAGGGTAAAACAAATGTTATCTTGGTGGGATTATGAATAAATTTTTAAAAATAATATACTTAACACTTTTGATAAACATATACCTATGTAAAGCCCATTACTAAAAATAAATACTTTAATAATTTTATAAATAATTACACTTCAGATAAATGCTAAGACGATTCCCTTTGCTTTAGTTCCTATCGCTCTGTATTCCAACTTCAGCAATTACAGCTCAAAACACTTGGTTCATTAGAACTCCTTATGTGGTTATTCCTTAACCACATACTGCTCTTGCATTATTTAAATGTCTCTCGAGTATATGACATCTTTCTAATCAGCCTGAAAACTCCTTAAGGAGTACCTCTGTAAACATGACTAGGTAGTGCTTATATACACAGTGGGCACTCAAAATAGTAAACCTAGAGGCTTATCCCCCAAATCCAATAACCAGCATGCCTACCCCAGAGTTAAGGCCATATTCACTTTGTTTCTACTCTCTTTCTGGCTACAAGACAGGTATGAATATGCAGCCTTTCCCTAAAATAACATTTCTATCCAGCAGCATCATTAAAATTGGATTTTGTAAAACCTCAAAGGAGTATCTTCCTGAGGGAGGTTACCTGGCAGCCCAGGAAAGTCACCACAAGGTAGAATTTATCTTGGTGAATTCATCAATATTTAGGGGCTGGCCCTCTCAGCCTTAAAAGGTCTTATTTATACATACACTGAGCAGATCAGTTTCCACAAGTAGATCGACACTTCAAGTGTACAAAAATTGATGCAATAACAGGAATGTCAACTTACTAGCATCCAGTGTGAAAAAACTGGCAAGAGACCAGATACATAGATTTTCCAGTTCACATATTTTCTCTATACGCATCTTACCTGGGACATCAAATCATAAATAGAATGACGTTGAGAACTATAACTACCACTAAAAAAACTATTTAACTCGTAATGGTAGTAAGTACAGGAATCCCATGGTTTGCATATACTTTCCCCTTAGGCATCACGGCAGAAATAATCAGAAGATCAAAGTAAAAGGTGGGGGGAGCTATTTATAAGGCATGCCCTTTAATAGGAAGTAGGCCTTTGGGGAGGTATTAAAGAAGACTTAAATAAATGGAAATACGCGAGGATTAGAAAATTCACTACCATAAAGATGTCAGTTCTCCCCACACTGATTTATGCTGGGGCGTGGCCAGGAGATGAAACGAGACCCTGAACCTATAGGTATCAACTAAGATGAAACAAAACTTCTCATCCATCATCACTCTCGCCCCGACAGGAAAGTTTTGGCGAAGGATCCTCTCGGCTAACGTCTAATGACAAAGACATCAAAAGCACAGGTTCTCCCTCGCGAGTTAAAATTGATAAAGGGGAAAAGCAGCTTCTGCTGCTTCTCCCCTCCTCCAAAACCAGAGAAGATCGTCTAAGCAACACTGACGAAATAAAACTGTTCCCCGAGAACAGGTCAGGTCCGTGAAGCCTAAGACGCCGAGGAGAGGGAGCCTCCCTTCCCAGCGGAACGAGGCTGCTCCCTCCTGCAGTTGTCCGCACCGCCCGGCCGCCGGCCTCAAACCACCGAAGACGCCGCGACGCCTCTGTCGCCCCGACCGCTTTTTGCTCAAGCTCTGTTTCTGTCTGCTCTCCACTTCCGGGTTTCGTCTCTCGATCCCTTTTTCCTCCCTCGCGTTACCTCAGGAAAAAGGAAGACAGAGACTAATCGAGTGAATTTGCTCACCGAGTTCACGGCGTCCTGCAGCTGCGTGAGCCGGTCCGCCATGTTTCTCCCGTAAGCAAAAGGTCCCTAAAGCAGCTGCTAGTACAGGACTGGGCAATTCTAAAACACGTTTTGGCCAATCACAGGGCTCCGTTCTTGGAAGGGGTGGAGTCAAGCGCAACTACACGCCCACAAAGAGAGGTAGGACTTTACTGAGACTTCATTTGCTAAGACTAAGACTAGCTCCACCTGAGAAAAGTCTTCGCTGAGCCTGTTCTGAATAACTTGGGGACTGTCTGGGGTCCACCCGCTTTTGGAACTATATACTATACTGTATTCCAGGCTTCTAGGTATCAAACGCTTTACGGAGATTAAGTTCTGTGGTTTTTAAACGTTAATTTCCCCCAACCATTTATGTGTTCATTTTTTAAAAGATTTTATTTATTTTTAGAGAGAGGGGAAGGAAGAGAAAAAGAAAGGAGGAGAACATGGATGTGTGAGAGAATCATTGATCGGTTGCCTCTTGCCCCCAACGGGGGACAAGGCCCTCAACCCAGGCCTGTGCCCTGACTGGGCATCGAACAGGCAGCCTTTTGCTTTGCCTACCGATGCTCAACAAACTGAGGCATAAGGGTCAGAGCTATGTATTCATTTTTTTAACCATCTATTTAAATATTTATGTTACATTGCTTTTGCTTTCTATTTGGACCACAAAACATACACATCAAGGAACTCAAGAATACTTGGGAGTCAAGATACCAACTTTAACCTCAACAAATAAAAACTAAAAATCACCAGGCAATCAGGAAGGGCTAGGTTAGGATGTTCCCTCTGTTGCTTTTGGGTGCGAAGGGCTTTATCCAAGTGGAGACTGGGTGCATGCTTTAATTCTGAGTGTGGGTGTGCTGGGAAGCTGACCCAAACAATTAAGGACTAAACTGAGCTGTATTGCCTGTGTTGGAAGTGTACGGAGAAGGAAGGTCTCTGTGGGCAAAGGTGAGGAGAGCATTTGGAGTTAAGAGATAAGATGTGAGTGTAGGCAGCTAATAACCGTCTCTTGTTTGTGTGACAGTGTGTGGGTTAGTGGAGAGGAGAGTGGAGGTTTTACCACGTGTAGTCGGAAAAGAGTTTCCTGGAAAATAAGAGACAAGCACAGGAAGTGCGGGTTGTTTTTTAAAAGATAAGCTATGCAATTTAGACTAAGAGTTGGGATCTATTGAGAGTGTAAGTCTGAAGAGTGATAGTATAAACTTGGTATTAAGGAAAGTTAGCCTGGAAATAGTGGGAAAGAAAGTTGCCTGGCATCAGCCAATGACGGATTTGTGGACTCCACACAGACTCACACACTCTCTTTCTCAGTCAGATTATCCCTGATTACCCTCCTGGATTAGGATGAAGGCGAGGGAAACTATCCATGGGGAGTTTACCTTCTTGATTTACCCCAACCCTACCTAGGAAGCCCCATTTCTGCTTCTCCTCAGCTAGATCTTGACCCTGATACAAAAAAGATAGGCTATTTTTGAAAGAAAATTAACATGGATTTGTGACTGGTTGGATACAGATGGATGAATGACAAAACCCACTGAAAGAGAATACTAAGTTTTGTAACCTGATTGAAGAGAACTGGGTTGCCTAGGGTAGAAGAGCCATTTCATGTTACAACACAGATTTTGTTGTGTCATTCATTATCTTCTGTACAGGTTTTTAGTAGTGCCGCAGAGACCTCAGGTTGATGTCTAGCCATATCTAACTGGTTTTCAAGATTCACTGTCATCTTGGCTGAAATACTAAAAATAAACATTTGCTTTTATTATTTGCTTATTTACTTAGACTGCTTGCAATTCCTTAAACATGTTCTGCTGTTTCACACTTCTCTGCATGCTCTATAAGACACATCTAATTCTCTCTTCCATATGAAATGCCTACACTTCCATCCATACCTCCATTTCGTTCCTTTATTGATCACTCAGCTTTCAAACTTTATTTTAAATATCTCCTTTTTAATAAAACTTTTCCTGAAACTCTAGTTAATTGCCCCCAATCTATACCACAATTGTCTTTATACATCTGTTATTGTACTTGGCATACCGAAGTGTAACTATTCATACGTTACTCAAATTCACTGAGCACCATGAGATGCTTGGGAGCAGGTAACAGATTTTAACTGTTTCCATATTTCCAATACCTAGCACCAAGCTTTTAGCCTGGCACACAGAAACTTCTGAATGCATATTTTGGACTGAATGAATGAATTTCCTAATATAATGATTTCCATATAATAGTTACTAAATTTATTGAATAAAAACTGTCAAAGTAATGTATGTTGCTGCCCACAAGAAGAACATCAGTTTAAAAATACAGAGTGAAGGTGACATTAGAGTGGAATAGGCTAAATGGGCAAGTTTCACACCAGTCTTTTCCTGCCTTTCCCCTGAATCCCTGCTCTTATCTCTATCCAAGATATCTTCAGTTTTCCTCCCTCCCTCCCTCTCTCCCTCCCTCCCTCCCTTCCCTAAACCTTAAGCAGACCTTAAGGCCCCAGTTATCTATATCTTAGATTGGGGAATCTTGTCAGTTTTTGTGTTTCCTTTCAATTCACAGGAATAACAAGCCCATTTGCTCCAGTTCCCCGGGAGTTCACAGGAGCAAGGGGCCCCAGGCAATCATCTTCCTAAGCTGTCACAGTCTTTCAGAACCGAGATAATGAGACCCTCTTATTATTATTGATATGTCTGTCATCAGCTGTCCTCTGCAGGCATGGGGAACAGCTATGCAAAGGTATGGAGCGCAGAGAATGAGGTTAGTTCAGGGAACCGAAATTAATTCAGTGTGGCCAGCATAGAAGAGTTTGAGTTTAGTTGCAGCAAGAACCTGGAGAGGTGGACAGAAGCTGTATCATGAAAACATTATGCGTCATACTTGGGAAAATGGACTGTTACCCTGAATGCTTTTATAAGAAAACCTTAAAAAACATACATATCTTCTCAAAAATTATATTTTCTTATTCAAAAGCAATGTTCAAAGTAAATTTTTTACACAGAGCAGACATGTGCAAAGAAAATCATTCTTCATCCAATCACCTTTATGATTTGAAACATTTTGATACTTTTTTCAAGCTTTCTTTCTATGAATATAAACATGAATGCATATTTAAAAGAAAACAAAATAAGGCTTATACACTGAATATTTATTGCTTTGTAACTTGCCTTTTCATAAACACCTCACAATCAGTTCTCTTTAAAACATGATTTTTGGAGGGCTACACAGTATTTTATTATGTGTGTGTATCACAGGTTATTTAATTCCTTATCGTTGGGCATTTATGTTGTTTTAGTTTTTTTCTATTGCAAATAACATCTTGATGAACAGTTTTGTACACTAATTTTATACATCTATCTAATTTTTGTACATATTACATACTTAAATCTAAAAGTGGAATTATTCCAAAGCTATGACATAGATTATACTATAACAAGTCGTTTCAAGTTACACCCCCAGCCAGTCCTATCTTAGGATGTCTACTTCTCAGCTCTTTCATCTACACTCATGTTCTTACTCTTTTAAGATATTTAAAGTTAGTTTCTTGATTTTTTGTTACTAGTGAGTTTGAACTTTTTCATGTTTTTGTTAGCCATTTATATTTCTTTTTTTGTTTGTGTGTGCAATTCCCTATTTCTGTTCTTTGCTAATTTTCATTTTTTGTCATCAGCTTGACTTTTCATACTGTTTAGGTTTTTTAACTTTCATGATATTTATTCATTGACTTAGTCCTCACCTGAGGACATTTTTTCATTGCTTTCAGAGAGTGAGGAAGGGAGAGAGAGAATCATGGATTGGAGAGAGAAGCACCGATTGGTTGCCTCTTGTATTCACCTGGACCAGGGATAATACATGCCTGGACCAGGGATCAAATCAGCAACTTAGGTATGTTCTTTTCCCAGGAATCCAACCCACAGCCTTTCAGTTGCAGGATAACATTCTGACCAACTGAACCACGCCAGCCAGGACAAAATTTAACATTTTAAATAGCCAGACCTACCAATCTTTTATGGTTTCCTTCTTTGCTTTTTTGTTTACAAAATCCTCCCTGAACCCTCCTAATCACTTCTGGTTTGACACTGCCAGATTCCAACTGATTTTTGTTCTAACAAAAAATTTTAAAGATTTTATTTATTTACTTTTAAAGAGAAGGGAAGAGAGGGAGAAAGAAAGGGAGAGAAACATCAATGTGCAAGAGATACATGTATCTGTTGCCTCTTGTATGCCCCCAACTGGGGACCTGGCCAGCAACCCAGACATGTGCCCTGACTGGGAATCGAACCGACAATCTTTCAGTTCACAGGCTGGCACTCAATCCACTGAGTCACACCAGCTAGGGCCCAATTCTTAAAATTAAAAAAAAACAAAAACCATTCTAAGATCAGTTGTTTTACATAAAAGAGACATACTTGTAGCTGTTACAGTTTTATTTATTACTTTGGGATTGCATTTTGATGGTGTGGGAATTTTAATACTCTCCAGTATCAGAACACACTTTATTGAATAATCCCATCGCTGATTCAAATGCTACTCTTATCATAATTGCTTGTGTTACCTTCTTGGTATTTCATCTACTGAGAGTGACAGGAATGAGGGGCATATGGGAGAGTTAATAAACATCATAGGAATGGACAGTGTTACCAAAGGTGTGAAAATTTGTATCAGATAGGAGACCAGGAAGAGTTGTGCCTGTTAACATATGGTGATTTCCGTAGATTTTTAGCTTAATAGTGGATTAACTGGATACTGTATGTAATTTTCAAGATAGTTCATTAAAATATATAAATTAAAAATTTAAGAAGCAGGACAAGAAAAGCAGAGCACTCTTCCCCAAATACCTTTTAGTTTGTCAGTCTAATTCCACAATCATCTCATGGAGACACCTGTCACATGGACTACTGTCCTTCAAACAGCAGCACACTCAGGTAGGAGAGACGAGAGAGGAAGTTCAGAGTAAGGTCTTGAGTCTTCGAGGATATTTTGCTTAGAGAAAACGATACCTTAAAATAAAAATTAAAAAAACAATGGTGCTCACCACCAGCGCAGCGACCGTGCAGAAACAACATTACTCCCGCATTTTCATGCCAACCTCGGACTGCGGCCCTAGGGCAAGTGCTACGGAAAAACGATCATTCATTCTTGCGTTTCCACCACTAGATTTCTCCTTTTTATTTTCTTTTTGCAACTGACCGTTAAACTCGGAAACAGGAGTCTAGAGTTATTTAGGCGCAACAGAGTTATTTTTACTTTAACGGTGGTTTTCGTAAATGGGAATGATGAAAAAAGGGAGAAGTACAGGTTACACACACAGCTTCCGGGGTCTCCTCCGCCCTGAGCGTGGGGATCCCCAAACGCCGCCTGCTGAGAGCCCACCTTGCGCCACGAGGGGGCGCGCGCCGCTTGGAAACGCCCCTCTGTCGCCCCCCGCAGAGCGCTGTGGAGGGGGCGGGGCGGTGACGTAAAAGGGGCGGGGCGGAGTGGAAGCGCGGTACCGGGAGGCAGGCGGCAATTGCGGGGAGAGAGAACTCTCGGTGAGGCAGGGGAGTGCGGCGGGGGTTGCTGGCCAGCACTGCGGATCTGGCGGGTGTGCGGCGCGAGCACTTGGCGGGCGATGGCGCCGAGCGCGAACGCGAGCGGGAGCGCGAGCGCCCCGGGGTAGCGAGGGCTCGGCTGCGCGGCCCTGACCGCGCCGCTCTCCGTCCCTGGCGTTGGCTCCGCCGGGCCCGGGCAGCTATGGAACTCCTTCGGCTGATGGCGCTGGCAGCGTTGGCGTCGCAACCCGGGGTGGCTGGTGGAGCCGAGATCGTCGGGAACTCCAGCGTGGGTAAGATTGGGGGCACCTTACTTCTGCAACCCAAGTTGCTTTTGCATTTCTTGCACGGCCGAAATCCGTATCAGGGTCTGTCCGCCTGGCAAAAGAGGTTCAGAGTTCAGAACCGGCAGGAACTGATCCGGCAGGAACTGATCAGAGTCCTTTCCTGCAGAAGGCAATTACCTTTGCTAAGGAGGCCTCCTAATTTAGGCTGTGGAAATGGGAAGAGATACGTAACTCTCTTCCCCTGAGGGAAGAGCCATATTTGTGGATTTAACTTAACACTTGAAAGCACCTCTTTGCTCCCAAGGGGCGAATGTGAGCCCTTCGGACAGTAAGGCTTGGTGCAAAAGCGAGGGATTCACGATTGACGGCCATCCAGACGGTAGCAGGTTTTTACACTCCAAAATCTAGATGCTTTTCTAATTAGTAAACTCGACAGAGTTTGAGAGGAAAAAGTGAGCTCAGATTGGGCTTTTAGATTGTAGGTCATGTGCTTGGTGAATGGGTTTTAGCAGTAATGCGTGGTTTGTTAATATATAAATTGTGAAAAGCACTAATTGTGCCGGCTGATAATCATGTGAGGTCAAGCACATTCTTAGTATTATTTTGAGCGTAAGAGACTAGTTACAGTTCTGAAACATAATATTTTTTGAATAATGTGATTTTGTTCCTAAATACTTATCTTTGAAAAGCTCTTTACAAACTGAGTTCCAGAATCTTTGCATAGGACTTAAGGCCAAAGCTGAAAAGGGCAGTTATATTTTTACAGAAAAAAGAGCCTCTTTTATAATAGGGTACCAACATTCATGGCAGTGCAGAATGTGCCAGGTGCTGTTCATGGAAGTGTTACTTAATCCTCACTTGGCAGAGGGTGAAGCCCTGGCCCAAGGTGATGATGCTCACCTCACAGGCAAACAGCTAATAGGGGCGCAGACAGCACCTGAATCCAAGTATTAATGTCTCGCTGCCAATTTCATGGTCCTTCCAGCGGGTTAACAAAGTTGCCCCCAATATTTAACTTAGTATGGTGCTTTACACTTAATTCTTCTGTGAATTCTCATTTCTCAAAATAGCTTTATGACAGAGGTGGAAGTGATGATGCTACTCCATTTTAACAGGTGAAGAATTAGAGAGATCGAGCTTGTAGTTGATCCAGGCTAGACCCTGTTAGGAGGGCTGCGATCCAGAGCTTTTCATTTCTAGGACTGTGCGTTAGTGTTTTTACACAAAAGTTGAGAAATATGAGAAATTGAGAGATTAATATTTTTTTCAGATGCTATTTCTTGCCTCTTTCCTATGATTTCAGCCCTGACATTTCTTCTACCATGTTAGTATTTTTGCCTTGCGCTAGCGTTGTTTCTCTGTGCAGAAGAACATGTGGGAACTTGACCACTGAATGATAATTAAAGCTGATGTTCTCCACATTTGTCAGATAAAAATCAGTATACAAATTAAGAAAGACTTAGTTTAGTTCAAGACTTGCATTCTTTTCCTGGAAAGTGGCTAGATTTCTGTGTGTGGATTCTGATAACTGGACAAACTGAATAAATTAAGCAACTGCTGTCACTTAGGAGGATCTGCCCTTCTTTAGCAGGACAAGCTAACTTACGCCACTTCAGTAGTGGCTTGAAAGCCAAACGAATCTTTGAAGGGGGGAGATGGAGTCCCTGGAATGAGGAAGATGCTTTCTGTGACCAGCAGGGCACAAGAGGTGCATCACACATTTGAACAGTTTACCCTTGCCTTGGTGTTCCGTTCTCTGCTGCCTTTAACATCCTTCATTACTGTTTGTTGCGTATCCATTAACTCACCTGAAATTACATAGTAATCAGAGCTGTGCAGAATGTCATTTGAACCCTCTAATATTTGTGCTGTTGATAGTGCTCTAAGTAAGGTGGCAGGCCGTTTGTGTAGTTAGTTGCAAGTGGTCTCTTTCTTTTGAAAGTGTGAGAAAGGTGGTGTGTACACCTTTGTGTTTCCTTTCAGCTTTTAGAGCTAATGAAACTTTGTAAGATATAAATGAGAAATTGGGAGGGGCAGTTGAATGTAGACTAGTTCAAGTAGCTAAATGAACTGCTTCTATTTTTAGTATTTTATTTGAAGAGAATTATGAAAACTTAACTTTAACAGATCTCTCCTAGAATTTGGTTGTTGCTTGAAAACACAAACAATGGAGGTAAATTTTAGTAAAATGGTAAAAAGGAAGAGTTTAAAAATTTAAGTTTGCAAGTTTAGGATTTGATGGGGAAAGAAAAGGGATTGAGTAGTTCTTTGTTGAATGGGATTCTTGGGAAGAAAATTTGACTGGGTAGCAATGAGGACGAATGTGAAAAATAGAAGAGTCCCCCATGTTATGGGTCGGATGGCAAAAAAATATTTTTAGCTGAAAAAACAGAGGCACTGCTTTCTAAAGGGAGCTACAACATAAGGGCTCTGTCTCCATGTTAGCCAATTGCTCTGTAATATCGTTTGATATAGTTTTCCTCCCACTCCCAAAATCATAAGATCTAATTATGCCTTGTAAAATGTTTCGGATGAATCCCTTTCCAGATGGCTTAAAGGTAAATTAAGTTCCTGTTAACTTCTACAGGGTATATTTTGGTTATGTGCCTTTATTCACCATGTATGCTTTTATGAGTAGAAATTAAATGCAGATTCTGCTAGACTGTACTGTTAAAATTGTCTTGACTTTCAGTATTTTTCCTTGTCCCTCTAAGGAAGTCTCCTCAACTTGATTCTCAAGATGTATGCGCTGAGCACTTATACCTGTTACTCCTCTTCTTCCCACTTGTTTATTTGCAGAACCATACTAAATGCTTAATTTTTTGTAAAGTTAAAAATGCTTAACTTTTTTTTTTTTTTATAAATAAGAAAATGAGGCTCTGAAATGCGGGAAAGCTAATGGAGGTTAATAATATTTTATCGTGTGGTATTAGACAGTTTGCAAACTTTTCCCCATTTGTTTGATACTTTCATCAGCCAACTGATTTTTGTAGCACAGTTGCCTCCATTTTATTGTACCATGAGGGAACTCAGGCCCTGAGAAAAGAAATTACTTCCCTTAAGTCACAAAATTGAACTATCATTTATTCAGCACTTACTATGTGCCGGCTAGGTGACCAGTGCTGTACTAGGTTTTGGAATGTCAGACATGACAAAGCCCTGTATAGCCAGGAGTTAAACCATAACTGATTTTGTTACTACGCAACTTTCTGTAAAAATTGTGAAATGGCTCTCAGACTATGCAGAGGTAACACTACCAAAGGATTTTCACACAGAAGTTAGGTTAAATATAACTGGGAATAGGAAAAAAATACGCTTTTATCTTTCCCTAACTCATCAAATGTTGGGTTAGGTGTTCTCAACCCTGGCTGAACGTTAGAAATCAGCTGGAGAACTTTTTAAAAAGGCATATTGATGAAGAGATAACTAGAAGTTTAAATTTAAAAGAAAAAGTCAATTGCCTGGCTGGTATGGCTCTGTTGGCTGGATCATCCTGTACACCAAAAGGTTGAGGGTTTGATTTCCAGTCAAGGCACATGCCTAGGTTGCCGGTTCAGGCCCCTGGTGGGATGCATACAGGAGGCAACCGGTCAATGTTCTTCTCTCACATCCATGTTTCTCTCTCTTTTCCTTCCTCTCTAAAAATCAATCAACATATTTTAAAAAATTTAAAAAAATATGTTAAAAATAAAAGGTAAATTTACAATAGCATCAAAAACATTAAATAGTTATGTCTAATTATAATGGGATATATAAAGGCTACTACAGAGGAAACGCTGCAACGCTCTTGAGATAAACTGAGAAACAGTAAGTAGAAGGATATCTCAAATTCATAGATTAGAAAATTCTGTTATAAAGATATCATTTCTCCCTAAATTAATACATTTAGTGCCATCCCAGTCAAAATCCCAGCAGTTTTGTGTGTGTGTGTGTGTGTGTGTGTATGTGTATGTAAATTGACAAGCTACTTTCTAAAATTTATATGGAAGTGAAAAGGGCCAAAAATAGTCAAGACAGTCTTGAAGAGGAAGAACACATTTGGGGCAGAATGTGAGACATTGTAATACTAATGTTAACTTAGGCAAATAGACCAGTGGAACACAAGAGTCCAGGTACAAACCCTCACATATGGTTACTTGACTTATGTGAAAGATGGAATTGCAGGGCAGTAGGGAAATTATTTTTCAGTAAAGGTTTCTGTGTGAACTGGATATACAAATGGAAACATGAACCTTTTGAGTGCCATCAAGCATGAAGTTTTAAAAAAGGAACATGAATGTTTTCTCAAATTGTACAGTTTCTTTCTGATAGGAGCACCTATCACTACAGAAATTTTATGAACAATGAAACATGTAAAGAAAAGAGAAATCACTTACAATATATTCCTAGGGGTACCTACATTTAATACCCCTATTTATTTTAAGTTACTAGTTGTTTAATGACGTATTTTAGTATCTTCCTCACTGTCTTTTAAAGCAGTGAACATTTTGGCCCTCCAAATACTTCTCACTTGTGATTTGTCTTCACCCTGATTTGCCTATTTAGTGGACTATTTAAGAATTAGGTTGGACAAAGAAAGAACTGGTGTTCAGCTAGGACAGAGACACACAGAGAACCGATGGTCAGAGTGAGTGAGTTAAACAGAACCAGAAATGGAGGCAAGCAGGCAGATGGGAAGGGCCTAGATGAGGCTGGAAAACTATTGTTATAACTTCTCTTTTATGTGGACTCTGAACTTGATCCTTAAACTAACAAAAAGCTCTTTTTTCCAGAATACCTGGGGTTCATGACTATATGTGAAGTATCTGGCATGAGCATTCAAATGACATTTTTGCCAATGTTGATGGCACCTTCTTTTGCAAGCTAGGTAATACAGTCCCATTTGACAGATGAAGAAATTGAGGTTTAAGGGAGTTAAGAAACTTGCCTGAGGTCACACAGCTAGTAAATGGTGGGATAAAATCGAAGCCACCTCTGCGTCTCCAGGATAACTTCAGAATTCATTGATCATACTGTTCTTTAATACTGGTGCACTCACAGTCATTAGTAGTAGCTCCTCAGGGTTGCCATTCTTAAATTCAGGGACTCTGTTCAGAATAGAATTGTTAGAGTTGCTACCAGATGGGGAAGTTTTCTGGGCCGTGGGAGCCAGGTACTTGGAATATCCTCAGCCACTTTAAGTATTGTTTGCATCTTTTGAAGTACCTTTTTTCTGCTTAAGTTCTTAGTTCTACCACTCACTAGCCAAGTCCCCCTGGTGGGCTGTTTCATCTAAGATTGTCCTCATCAGTGAAATAGGGGCAGTAATAATATTTATCTCAACTGGTTTTTCTTTCTGATGATTAAATTAGTAGTATGTATGTGTACATATGTGATTTCTACAAATTGATATTAGCCGTGCATATATTACAATGAAACGTTTCTCTTGTTGTAGGTATTACTGAGTTTTCTGTGGGGAAATTTAGGTACTTGAAGCTCAGCAAGCCCTTTCCAGAGGAAGCTATTTTGCATAATATTTCCAGCAATGTGACTTTTCTTATTTTCCAAATACATTCACAGTATCAGAATACGACGATTTCTTTTTCTAAGGTAAGCACAAAGTATTATTTTTATTTATTTATTTTTTATTTTTGTACAAACTTCTGTGTTTTGGGGACGTGCATTTAGTGTAAGCATTAAAATTTGATGCCTCTTTATGTTTAACTTTATGTCTTAAATATTTAAAAAAATCAGACTTGGCTTCTTTTAAATTAGTGACTTAGACCAGCTTAGAAGTGAGTGTCTCAGGCCTTTCTTGAGTGTAGTGACCTCTGACTTCAAGAGGAGGTGATAGAGTGCAGAGTTCAGGGGCAGATGAGCTGTGCCAAGTGTTTCCTCTCTGAATGTAGTTAAAGTTTTTCTCATGATTTCCCTCTTTTTCTTTTTATTACTCTACTGGGTCCTTAATGATTTTTACCTGAGGATATATTTTAATGAGTTTTCATTTTTGTTTAGCCATTCAGTGTTGAAATTTTACTGTATGACATGTACATTTAATAAGACCCTTTAGGATCAGCTTTATTCTTTGGTGTCTCATGGAAACAAAAGAACCCTAACACTGAGCTCATTTTGTCCAGCGGTGGGCTTCTAGCAGCATTTCGAACTCTTGCAGAGGTCATCACTAAACCCCTTAACCTCAACCTCAGATTTGGGAAGTTTTTGAAATGCCTAGGATTAGCCTAAGCTATTAAGGACCTGCCATTTATGTTAACCTTTTACAAATCTATTTCTATTTAGCCCATATGATCCATTAGACAAATAAATTCCACTCTGTGTGATGCTATGTTTCTTCTTCTTCGTCTTAAACCTATCTTCTGGTAATTGTCTGAAATTTGCTAAACAAAACTCTCTTAGTCCAGTTCATCTATATTTTATAGGTATTGGTCATATTCCAAACTAAGTGTTTTGTGTGTATGTGGTTTTTTTTTTAATTTTTTTTTATTCTGAAGTCCTGTTCCTATCATGAAGGTTTTGAAATTGTGTGCATGTGTGTGGTAGTTTAATAGACTAGAACTGGGAAGTGTTTGATTAAGGAAAACAGGAAGGAATAGATTGTTAATTGCAAGAGATAACAAAGTCTATGATCCATACAGAAATCAAAACATGTTAAACTTTTATAACTTTCTTAGAAGGAAAAACATGTCAATTACTCGGGGGAAGCCAAGTGTTTTCTGGTACTGTATTCAAAAGGAAACCTCCTCTTCAGGCCCTTACATAGGACATAATAAAATGGCACATACATAATTTCCTTCTTAAGAAAATCACAGCACAGACAACATTTGAAGGAAGAGGAAGGGTGGAGGAAAAAAAATTTATATTTATTGCATATCTACTATGGACTAGGCTGATGGTTTTTAGTTCCCGGGGTCATAGACTTTGAATCTACTGAAATCTGTGGACTCTCTATCTGGCAAAATGTGTAGATGCATCTGTAGATTTCATGGAGACCTCTGGAAACTCTCTGGGCCTCTGGGGCTCTTAGTTAGAAACCTCGGTGTCTGGTTTTGCATATAATTAATTTAATTCTCACAACGGCTCAACAGAGTAGTTACATTGCCTGTTTTTACCTCTGAGGAAAAACAGCTTGGATAAAGGGATGTCAACATAACTAATGTAACAAAAGGCCTGGATGAACAGCATCTGAGGCCTCAATTTTCATGCAGAAAGAGTCTTAGTCATCTTTAATTATAATAATGTTACTTTATGTGCTGCTCTCCTTTAGTTCTCCCTGTAGCTGTACTGCCGAGATGATAACCAGGGCTGCACGTGGCTCTGGCAGTGAGTGGTCTGTGTGAGGAGAACTGTTTGCTTCCTTTGCTCTTCCTGATGAACTGTGGCACTTTGGACTTTTTGGGTCATCATCGTGGCTGGTTCTTTGAAACTGGCTGCTCTATAATTTGTCAATTAGTATTTGGGTCATTTTCCCTTATGCTTGTCAAATTGAAACCCATCTGTCACTTAGGGAAAACTCAATCTGCAAATCAGTCTGCACTTACAGGAAAACCTGTCAAGGAAATCTAACATATGCCAGTCACAATCCTCCAGCTCAGTTTTAACTAAAAATAGGACCTGATAGTGTTCTAAGAATTTCCTGACCTCCTAACCCCCTATGCCCTGTTTATGCATTATTGTTTTTAATGCTCTGTAAAGCTTGCTCTTGCCCCACATCCTTCAGGAACAATATTCCACAGCTTGTGAGGCACTGCACTCCCCCAACTCATGGATTGTTTTCCCCTGAATAAAGGACATTAGACTCGTTAGGAAATTTTTTTAGTTTCATCATTCAACTTGACATAGTAAATCTTAATTTGGGGCATTGAAAAGCTTGGGAATTTTATTGCATCTGATCAAACAACATGTATTTTCAACAGTTCTTTCATGTGTATGTGTGGGCACATGCACATAGAGGTAAAAAGAATTCTTTATTTATCTAAAGAAGGTCTATTTTTATTCTTTTTGTTTTGAGGTTTGGAGTAAGACACATACTAGATCAGCTCTGGAATTTAAATACTTTGCTATTCATAATGACTCTTTTTTTCCCTTATTGCAGACTCTCCTTCCCAGTACCTCGGCAACAGGCACTGGCAAAGGACTGGTTTTCAGTCTTAGGCCAGAGCAGAGCATGTGCTTTTGGTATATGGAAACTTCAGATGCAGAACCTGTCCAAAGTGTGGCCATTCCACTCTCCTACTCAGAAGGAGGTAACCTTTCTGTCTTCACCTTCCATTGCTGTCCAGAATATGAGACTTGTTCATGAAAATTTAGGGAAAACTGTAATCTTATTAAAAGTGTTTATTGTGCCCTGGCTGGTGTGGCTCAGTGGATTGAGCTCTGGCCTGCGAACCAAAGGGTTGTCAGTTCGGATTCCAGTGTAGGGCACATTTGTGGGTTGCAGGCCAGGTCCCCCGCAGGGTGCATGCAACATGCAACCATACATTGATGTTTCCCTCCCTCTCTAAAAATAAATAAATAAAATCTTTTAAAAAAAGTGTTTATTGTAAACACAATATATTTCATCAGAAAGGTTTTAATAGCAAGGAAGCCAGAGAATTAGCATGATGATTGAAAGCCTAGGTAGGGACTAGGAGAATACATTTATTCATTCGAAAAACACTTACGGAGCTCTTGGAGAAGCAGTAACAAAAAGGCAAGGCATAGTCCTTAAATCTGTAGTTGTTTATTCTCAGCAGAGGAAGGTGCGGAAGAAAAACGGAGCTTTTGGAGAGTGAAAGAAGTGGATGTGGCTGGAGGCAGAGCGTGAGCACCTTGTGTACAATTTGAGGTTTGCATTCTGTTCTGCGATCGGTTCTGAGGAAGCATAGAGTTTTTAAGCACAGGAATGTTGTGATGCCTTTCATCTCTTAGAATGTTAATTGGAGAAGCAGTGTGGGGAGTGAGTTGGAGAGGACATAGCAGAGTGAGGACTCAGCATACTTTTGAGTACTCAAAGTGAGAAATGGGAATCTTAACAGAGGCCAACAAGAGTAGAGCTAGAGAAGGGGGGCAGGAATTGAGATATTTGGAGGTAGAATTGATAAGACACAGTGACCGATGGTTATGGATTATTAAATGGGGGTAGCATAGGCTTCCCATTTGGGCCGCTGGGAGATAGTGATGCAAAATAAGTGTAGAAGTAGTGTTGTGGTGGCGCTTGATGTTTTAGGGGGATAGGATGGTAGGTGGTGACCTCAGGTCAGGACACAATGAATTTGCGACACTTGGCAGGACATCTGGATGGAAATGCACAGTAGGCAGTTTTAAAATAAGAGCCTGGAGTGGAGGAGTAAGGTTAGACATTTAACCAAATAGCTGTTCATAAAAGCCACAGAAGTGAGTGTGATTGTCCAAGCATGTACGTAGAGATTTAGGGGGGAGAATAGTAGCAGATACTTTCAGAGTGTTTCCCACATGCCAGGCACTGTTTCTGGGTGAGGCTAACTGCTAAGGAATGAGCATAAGGCCAAGGAGAGTCAGGAGAGTCCGAGAAGAGCCTGGAGGCTCTGCCTGAAGGAAGCAGTGGTAAATAGTACACATTGCAGAGAGGTCAGAGGAAGTGACTGAGAATGTCCATTTGAAAATGTAGTCAGTGGTGGCCTTGAATGAGAGTTGTTTTGGTGCTACAGTGGGGAGGAAAACTAGATTACAGTGACTGAAGAGTAAAGATTAGGCGAGGAAATTTAGATTGCCCCTCAAAGTTTGATGGTAGCGAGGAGAGGGAGCAGTAGCTAATAAAGGGGGAAGAATCCAAAAAGTGATTGAAGAAAGACAATGTTATCTGTAACAAAAGGGTAACTACATGATCAAAAACGATGGACTTCAAGCTTCCATGAAGGACAGTGTACAAAGAAAAATTAGGAACAATGGAACTTCCATTAAAATACGTGTCCTTTTCTCTGGTATGGTAAATGTTCATGGATGTAACAAAAGGAGAGTATGAAAGATCACAGAATTCTGAGAAAAATGCCACACAGTGTTGAAACATGTGCACGGGGTATCTCCATTCCAAATCTTGCACAGAGAGTCAACCACCAGAATTCCCTATGGGAATGATTAGATGAGTGTATGTAGTTGAGATCTTACCAATCTTTAACTTAGTTTGCCTTGTATTCTGTCTTATTTCAATCTCTCTGTTTGAGTCCACTATATACAATTCTTTGTATGGAGTTGAGCTCATCTCAAGTGACTGATTTAAGTTTTGTCTTGCTTAAAGGTCATAAATTGGATTTCTAATAAGAAAAGAAGAGCTGTTTTAGTCATATTATTAATAAGATGAAATATGCAAAATTTATTTTGTGTTTAATTAAGCCTTCAAATACTGTACTGATACATGTCTTGGGAGGTCTTTTGGGGTCTTTTAATTTTAGAAAACTCTTTCATATACATACAGAGACTCTTCCAAAATTGAGGATGACACTGTCTTTCTCCCTGTTGAAAAAGCATGTAAAAAGTAGACCCCCACCTTCTCGATTACTCAGGAGTTCCTTTTTCTTTGGTAGTGGTTTTTTTTCTTTCCATCCCTGGGTTCTTATGCTCTTTTTGTGGGGTCATAGACCCCAAAATCTAATAAAAACCTTTGTCCCTAGGAAATGTACATGTTCAACATTAAATTTCAGGGTGTTCATGGAGCCCCTTAAACCCATTCTTGGATCCCAGCTTAAGAATCTTGTCCCTTTTGATCATTTCAGCTCTAGAGCAGAATTTGGCAAACTACAGATTGAGGCAAATCTAGCTCACTGCCCATTTGTATATAAAGTCTTACAGGAACACAGCCATGCCTATTCACTTCTGTGTGAATATTCACTATTCTCGCCATGAGGGTAGGGTTGAGTAGTTGCCACAGAGACTGTCAGGCCTGTGAAGCTTAAAATAGGCACTGTCTGACACTTTAGAGAGAAAATATTTACTGACTCCTGTTGTAGAGCCCTTAACCTCAGTTCATTAGATAGTACAAAACAAGCAGCTCTGTATTTAACTTCTGTATGTAAAGTCCTTTTAAAAATAGAGTTCTGTTTTCTGAGTATAATATGAATACATGAAAATTCTGTGTTGCGTGACTGACTTATTTTTCATCCAGATCCTGTCCCTGGGGGCTGTAATTTGGAGTTTGATTTAGATATTGATCCCAACATTTACTTGGAGTATGATTTCTTTGAAACAACTATCAGATTTGCCCCAGCAAACCTAGGCCATGCAAGGTATGTCTGTCTCTTAGAATTCCTTTTAGAACATGCACGACTAGCTGTTCTATAGATTCAGTGAACTCTCTCAAAATTTGTTATTCTCTTTACTGAAATAAAATTTTTAATTTTTTTGAATTAAAGTAATTCATATGTTGTAACTAATACTGGAGCTGTCATTTATAGTTAATATTGCTCTGTCCATTTGTATGAAGAGCCAGATGTTGAGTCTCTATTACGAGCTTAGAAGTACATCTTAGTTTCTGTAAAGAGTTTTATTTTTTTAAGTGTATTTTATTGATTATGCTGTTACAGTTGTCCCAATTTTTACCCTTTTGCCTCCCTCCACCTGGAACCCCCTCCCCTTCAGGAATCCCCACCCCCCCTTAGTTCATGTCCATGGGTCATGGATCTAAGTTCTTTGGATTCTTCATTTCCTAAACTATTCTTAACATAGCTCTGTCTATTTTGTACCTACCAATTATGCTTCTTAATCTCAGCCCTTTACTCCCCCTCCTCCCCCATTTCTCCCATTCTACCCCTTTCCCCTCCTGGCTGATAACCCTCTAAATGAACCTCATATCTATGATTCTGTTCCTGTTCTGGTTGTTTGCTTAGGTTTTTGTTCTTGGTTTTTTAGATCCAGTTATTGATAGTTGCCAGTTTGTTGTCATTTTGATGTTCATAGTTTTGATCTTCTTTTTCTTAAGTCCCTTTAACACTCCTTGTCTGGGAAGCTCTTTATCTGCCCTTCGATTCTAAATGATATCTTTGCTGGATAGAGTAATCTAGGTTGTAGGTCCTTGCTTTTCATCACTTTGAATATGTCTTGACAGCCCCTTCTTGCCTGCATAAGTTTCTTTTGAGAAATCAGCTGAGAGTCTTATGGGAACTCCTTGTAGGTAATTTTCTGTTTTCCTCTTGCTGCTTTTAAGAGTCTTTCTTTATCTTTAATCTTTGGCATTTAAGTTATGATGTGTCTTGGTGTGATCTTCTTTGGGTCCATCTTGTGTGGGACTCTCTGTGCTTCCTGGACTTGTATGTCTATTTCCTTTGTCAAATTAGGAAAGTTTTCTTTCATTGTTTTTTGAAAATAGGTTTTCAGTTTATTGCTTTTCCTCTTCTCCTTCTGGTAGCCCTATAATTTGGATGTTGGCACATTTGGAGATGTCCCAGAGGCTCCTTATACCATCCTCACATTTTTGAATTCTTGTTTCTTCTTTCTGTTCTGATTGAATGCTTATTTCTTCCTTAGGTTCCAAATTGTTGATTTGAGTCCCAGCTTCCTTCCTTTCACTGTTGGTTCTTTGTGGATTTTTATTTATTTCACTTAGTGTAACCTTCATTTCTTCCTTTATCTTATTGCTGTACTCAATGAGTTCTCTCAGCATCCTGATCACCAGTGGTTTGAACTCTGAATTTGATAGGTTGGCTATCTCCTTTTCATTCAGTTCTTTTTCTGGGGTTCTATTCTGTTCTTACATTTGGGCCATATTTCTTTGTCTCCTCAATTTGGCAGCCTCCCTATGTTTTTTTCTGTGTTATTAGGTGGAACTGCATTGACTCCCTGTATTAACGCACCTGTTAATTAAGTTGTATGGGTTGGATCCTTAGGTATTTGCCAGGGTGGGGCAACGTGCTTTACAGCTTTATTGCTCTGTGTGCAGGGAGGGCCCAGAGAGGGGGCAGTGCGGCTTCTGGAGGTTTGCCTGGCACTTGCTCCATTTCCAGTCACTTCGCCCACTTCCTGTATGCAACTGATGCCCTTCCAGCTGTTGCCCTGGTGGTGAATCCCAGCGTGGGTGGGTTTGCATATGTTCTAAGTCTATGCGGGCCCTTTAAACAGACTCTTCTGATAAATCAGCTGTTTCTTCTGCCATCCCAACTTCCACTGGTTTTTACAGCCAGAAGTTATGGGGCTTTATCTTCTCGGCACTGGAACCATGGTCTATGTGGTCTGGCTTGGGAACACTCGCTCCCAAGGTATCCCTCCCGATTTTTATTTACCACATGTGAATGTGTGAACATCTATTCCTTTCTGCCACTTCTGCCGCTTCTCCACGTGTCCTCGCTTCTCCACCCAGCTCAGTGTCTCATCCCCACGCTCCCAACTTGTCAGGATAAATGTGGCTTCTTTAAATCCTTGGTCATCCAACTTCCATATAGTTTGATTTTCTGACAGTTCTGGGTGTTGTCTTGAGGTTTAGTTGTAGTTCTTATAGTTGCCCTAGGAGGTGAAGCATGTCTACCTATACCTTCCATCTTGACCAGTAGCCCCATAAAAAGTTTTAAATATGGAAGGCAGTTTGGAGCTGTGAAGCACAATTATTATTTTTTTTGGTAAGTATTTTATTATTTTAATTAAAACTCTGCTTTAGTTTCTACTTTAATAATAATGATAACTAACGTTTGAGTAATATTTGAATGTTCTCTGTGCATTATCTGCAGTGCTGGGTGCTCTAAGTTCTTTGTCATTTAATCCTAACAATTTTATTAAGGGGCATTTGTTCTTATTTTACAGAGAGGTTCCCTAAGGGTCATTGAGAGTAAGTGACTTGTATACTTACAGCTAACAAATGGCAAAGCTGGCACTTGACGCTAGGCCTGAGTGACATTAACACCTGGTTATTAACCATATTGCCTGTCAATGTGTTATTTTTCTTCATAATGACAACTAGAACCATTGTTTCAGACGTTTGAAATTTGAGCTTTTGGTTCCTTTTTATAGATGGGTCATCCCCCAAAAGAGACTGATGTTCAATCTTGTTGGTTGACTTTAGAGGCACAGAATCTCCGCCATGTGACATCAGGACGGGACAGGACACTAGGTGGAGGTTGTGGTATGACGTCTATCAGTATTTTCTGCCCGAGAATGACCTCACTGAAGAGGGGTTGCTGAAGCATCTGCAGAGGATGGCCGAAGTGTCTCAGGTGACGGCCAATGCTATTAAGGTAAACAATCTGATTCTCATGATATGAGTGGCCAGATTGCAACACCTTTGTACAAATTGAGTAGAGGAGAAGCTACCAGGAGCTAATTGTTTTACTATTTGCTTGGTCCTTCGGGATTCTCTCTTTATCACTTTTATTTCGTTATCATCTTGGGAGTCTTTGCTAGTGATACCTCAAAGTAATAACAGCCTTTTAAGGAGATGCTTGTAGATTATGTTACATTTTAGTTGCAGCCACATGTATGACCTGGTAATCTTGACATATGGATGGGTGAATGGTGATTTTCTATATACTCCTATACCTATTAGATTAAAACTTTTGGCAAATATAAAGGTCACAGCATTTTGGGAAAAATACGAGAAACTGTTTAAAGTTGCACTCATTGGCATGGCATTAATGTTTAAGGCCAAACTCCCAAGTTTCTAACTTAGAGAAAAAATTTCTCTGAGCTTTTGAACTCCTATAAATTCTTGCTACTCCGCATGTGAGGCATGGGCCAAAGGGATTGGCATCGCCTGGGCGTTCGTCAGAGTTGCAGACTCTTGGGCCTCACCCCAGACCTCCACAATTATAATTTGCATTTTATGAGATCCCCAGGTGATTCCTGTACACATGGAAATTTCAGATTCAGGGCAGGATTTTATCTTCATGTCTTGAAAGGTATTTGATAGCAGTCTAATATGTGAGGTCATCTTTCAGTCTCATGGTTCATTGGTAGTGTTTTTCTAGACTCTGATTCTCCCCAGAGGTCTGAGAGATTCCCAGATTTTATAGAATGAGGTGATTGAAACAGGGCTTATATGCTTAGCCTAGGAGGTCAGCCTGTTGTAGAGCAAGCTCTCATTGTGTTACTTTGTCACCTAGGATGTCTCGGCCCTATGCTAAGGGGAGCCTGATATAGGAAAACTCACTGTGCTTGTTCACAGATTGGGAGAAGTTTATTGGTTTATCCTTTTAAAATAAGACATTTTGAAGACCCTGTTTATTCTTATGAAGAATATAAGAACTCACAGAACAGGGTCTTTTTAGTTTACTTTTTAACTTTTAGTTAAGAGTTAGAATATAGTGTGCCAGAATTCAAGGAAACTTTCAGTGATGAATGAGGATATCTCAAGAAGCCTCTGGAACCTGTTTAAAGAGGCTCACACTCAGCCAACTTTGGGACAGTTCAATGATCAAAAAGAAGATGATTGATTATAAGTCTTAATAAAAATAACTTTGTACTGATATAAACAAGGAAAAGAAAAAGATGGCTCCTATTGGAAGAGACTCATATCAAATAATTCTGAAAATTTATAAAGGGGAGGAATTTGCCCTGCCTTTTTAAAGGAGGAACTGTAATTCATCCTCAGTTTATGAGAGAAAGCTCTTTACAGAATAATGCTAACTAATAAATGTAGAAGGAATAGAAAATCAGCATTTGTGACTCTCAGTGAAATAATTCGGGTGAGGATCATTAGGTGAAAGATTGTTGGGGGACAGGTCATTACCAGGATGCCTAAGTAGCACTCCCAGTTTGCCCTGACCAGCGTTGCTCGGTTGGTTGGGCTCCATCCTGCAAAGCGAAAGGTCACCAGTTCCGTTCCTGGTCAGGGAATGTGTCTGGGTTGCAGGGTCAGCCCCCAGTCAGGGCGTGTACGAGAGGTAACCAACTGATGCTTCTCTCTCTCTTCCCCTCTCTCTAAAAGAAAATAAAGCTTTTTAAAAAATAGCACCCCCTGATTAATTCTAATTGTAAAGGGAAAACCGTTTCTAGAATGGAATGATCTGATTGTTTCCTCCTTATCTGTGTGGTCAACATAGCTTCGCTGAGAGCGGGTCCACTGCATTATGTGCTCACACAGTGGCAGCCTGGCAAGTCACCATTACCATCGCCTATGGCCTGTCCTAACAAAACATGTTTAACCCGAATTCAGTCCTCAGAGTTCCTGTTTACAGGAAACAGTAAGGGATAGAAGTACAAATTGGACACCCTGAGCACAATCTGAAAAATGCAGATTGTGGAATATTCTGTAAAGTGACTGCCCTTAATCTCTTCGAGTCATTGGCTGAGTGAGAGTAGGGAGTAGGAAGGACTGTTCTAGATTACAGAGATAAATACCATGTGTGAAGCTTGGTTGGATCTTCTTGGTTAAAGGGGAGAAAAGCTATAAAAATGTTTGGAAAAATCCAAATATCAACTTTGTGTCACATGAGAAATTATTAATTTTATTAGGAGAGCTAAGGTATTATAGGTATATAGGAGAATATCCTTCGTATATCATTTCTTGCTACTCAGATGGTGGTAGATGGACCTGTAGCATTGGCATCACTGGAGAGATTGTTAGAGAAGCAAAAGGTCAGGCGCCTCATCTGACCGAGGGATTCAGAATCTGAGTTTTAACAAACTATTCGTGATTCATAGGCACATTAAGTTTCAGAAACACTGTTTTAGGACATGCACTTTGAGGTGTAATACTTAGAAGTGAAATGTCATGGTATCTGTTATTTACTTTGAAATGGTTCCACAGGAAAAAAAATAGAGGAGGGGAGGAGAAGGAGGGAAGGGTAGAAAGGCAAATATGGTAAAATGTTAACAGTGGTTAAAGCTGAGTGGTGGTATGTAGTTTATTCATTGTACTATTTCATTATTTCTGTAAGGAAAGTTGCATAATAAAAACTTGGGTGAATAGGAAGTACATTTTGTTGAACTTGACCAAATACTTTGCCCAGGAAACATTTATGAAGGCTAAACAGTATTTTTAAACCATAGAAGTCCTCTGAGAGGCTCGGAATTATTTATTCCAGAGACTATAATATTTAATATTTTCACTTATATTAATAGGAACAAAACTACGCATTATGATTACATAGGGTTTTTGTTTCTTCTGTTATATGTATTACCTATTTAAAAAACAAGCTTTAAAAAGGAAATTTTGAAGTTAAGGAATATTGCATAACACAACTACATGTAATGTTTTCTTATTTCAGAGCCCGTTAAACAGAAATAAGTGGGTACTGTCTGTGAGGTGTTAACAGACTCTGTCAGCTCTGTAACTAGTAGTAATAGATAACATTTGTTGGACGCTTACTCTGTCCTGGGCATTGTGCCAAGTACTAAGGAAAAACTAGTGAGCCACATAGGTGTGGTTCCTGCCCCTATGCTGTTTATAATCTGGCAGATGAGAAAAAATTATTTTTTGCTTTGTTCTAACTAGCCTTTACATGTATTTATATCTCATTTTACTTAATTACTAACAACACTATACAAAGCTTTGGACACATTTGTGTAAGAGCTTGTGTATAGTAGTGCATACAAACTGTATAGGACAATTTATTGACAAAGCTAAATAGGTTGGTGTATATTTTAAACAAGAATTAGATTTTAATTTTAAAATTTAATTATCACATATAAGTGGATTATAATAGAATAGCCTTTTCGAAAAAATCTCAACACTAACCATGCATTATTTTGGCTTTAGGTGGTTACCCTAACAGCTAATGATAAGACAAGTGTTTCCTTCTCTTCCCTCCGGGGACAAGGTGCCATTTATAATGTCATTGTTTGGGACCCATTTCTCAATACGTCCGCTGCTTATGTTCCAGCTCACACATATGCTTGCAGCTTTGAGGCAAAAGAGGGTAATTGCTCTTCCCTTGGTGAGTATATGGATTTAAACTTTGCAAATTCTTCTTTGGCTTTGCAGATCTCTATCAACTAATACAGAACTTAGGAATATTAAAATATGCTCTTGTATAGTATTCATTCAGTCATTCATTCATTCTACAAATGCCTTTTAAACCCCTATACTACTTCACTCTCTGCTCTCAGCCCTGGGATATAGCAATGAACAAAACAGACAAAATACTTGTCATCCTGGGACTTATACTTTAGTGGGGGAGATGAGAGAGACAAGATAATTTGTGACTTATATAATGCATGAGGGAGTTATGCCTGCTAAGCAGCAGCAGTGAAGTAGGAAAGGGATAGCAAGTGGCTGTGAGAGAAGAATTTGAGGTGGCGTGGCCAGGGGAGCCCTTGCTGGGAAGGTAATATTTGTGCACAGACCCAAAATGAGACAGGGAGCCACACGTCTGGGGGTACATGGCAGGTAGAGGGAAGGGCCAGTGTGGAGTCGCTCCGCGGGGAGCTCACGGGGTGTGTGGAAGGACTGCAGCGAGGACGGTGGCTGGGGGAGCCTGAGGAGGGCAGGCAGCGCGTGTTAAATGTGTAGCTTTTATTTGGAGTGAAATGGGAAGGCATTGGAGGGTGTGAGCAAATAGTCCCATGATTGGACTCATATTGTAATGGGATCACTCTGGCTGCTTTTCTGAGAAGAAAAGTCGGGGCAAGAGCAAACACAGATTGGTTAGCAGGCCATTGTAGTAGCCCAGGTGAGAGATGTCGGTGGTGGTTTAGGTACAATGGTGAAAGTAGGGGTGTGGCAAGATCGTTCTGTGTGTGTGTATTTAACATTTTATTTTGAAATACATAGTTTCATGGAAACATTGCAAAAATAGTACACAAATTTCTGCATAATTTTCACCCAGATTCTTCAAATGCTAGTTAACATATGCTGTTTGCTTTTTATTCTATTTATAGTTCATATAGCATTTCCCTATAAAGGAGAGCTTTCATCAACTGCGGATGAATTACAGTTCCTTTTTTAAAAGAGGCAGGCTAAATTCCTTCCCTTCGTCAATTTCCAACCACAGGTCTTAAAATAAGCAGAATGTGGTATTATCTTTCATTCCATCTTTCTTTTGGGCTCTTCATTCTCAGAAAAGCCGATATGTAGGTAGATATGTATTATCTCCTACAAATTCTGGTCTTCCATTTTGTATTTCTTATTTAAATGTAGGTCTTTATGATATCTCCATCTGAGCACTCTTACATAGTTCATGTGTGTTGATTGGTTGATTGGGCTTGTAATGTTTTTCATCTGAGTTTTGTATAAGTGTTTTGTGTTTTGGTTTTAGTTCGGGGATTACTTTCTTGTGTTTATCACAAAGGAGTCATGGTGGTGAATTCTGAGTGTATTTTTCTCTTCAGTAAGCCCTATCTTTCATTCATTGTTTTGTATTTAAGTTTGTGCCTAATAAGGATCACAGGACTTATATTCATTGGCATCATGAAGCATGTTGTGATTTATTGTTGTTATAATGCTGCATGTCTTTCCCAAAGCAATAAATATAATTGATGAGATTGGTAGTGATTTGTTCATGTATGAATTATAGTGTTATACATGTTCTTTTATATTAATGTGAGTTTTGGTTAAAGTTTTTTGTTATGGAAAACTTAAATCAATCTTCATCTACCATTATTCAGCCTAAACAATTTTGATTAATAGACCTTATCTTGTTTTAGCTATACACTCACCTATATCTCTGTCTCCTTACCTCCTTTATCACTGCACTCTTTTAGAGCAAATCACTGAATCATTTTGCTCACAGAATTACAATATTTATACTTTAAAGATAAATGCTATGTTTAAAAAATATAGCCACAGTATCATTAACACAGGTTTCAATTAAAAATAGTTATGATAATTCCTTAATGGTTTTAAGTTAACAGCCAGTGTTTATATCTCCCCAGTCATCCCAAATTGCTTTTCACAGTTTTTTGTTTGAATCAGGTTTCAGATGAGCGCTGAACATTTGATTTAGCCAATGTGTCTCTTAAATGTGTTTTAGTCCAGTTCTCCCTCCTCCCTCCCTCCTTTTCTTTCCTGAAGTTTATTTGTGAGGAAACAGAACTATCTGTTTTAGGTATACTTTCTCTCCTCCTCCTTTCCACTTCCTCCCTGTGTCCTCCACCAAGACAGAATATGTTATGTAGCTCTATCAGGAAGCACACACTTTTTTACTTCTCTTTTTGTTATACTAACAGTCATTGCCTACATACAGTAATTCATTTACGGGTAGCAAGGATATCTTTGAAATAAATTATCCATGTATGGAATAAATTATTGCCAGGACTTTGCTTTTTTTCATGAAGTTTTGTTCTATTAAATATAGAGTATCAAATTACATGTATTTTCCACTATTTTTTCTTTATTTTTAGGAAGAGTATCTACCAAAGTATTTTTCACTCTTTTTGCCCTGCTTGGTTTCTTCATTTGTTTCTTTGGACACAGATTCTGGAAAACAGGTATTACGTCTGATGTAGTTGCTGTTTACATGCCTCGTGGTCTTTTTTCTTAATTACTGTGGGGAATTTATGACCTGTAATTTATCTCCACTGTCTTCATTGGTTTGTGTCTGTGTTGTTTTAGTAAAGATTCTGAGTTGCTCTGCACTTTTTTCTCTTTTCTCAGTAATGTGTACAACCTTTTCTTGTTAAGATGGGAATAAAATTTGATCTGTGCAGCAAACTTCTTCAGTTGCTAGATTGGCTAGTTGACTAAGATAACAAGTTAGAAATCAAGACATCAGTGTGAAAAAAATATGTGTGGATTTTGGTGATGGTGATCAACATACTTTTATATAAGTCAGGCTGTGGGGCTCCATGTACCGTGGGACTGAAATACCTGCTTGGTCCTGGGAGGGGCAAGACAACAAACGGGAACTCTGACAGCTGCTCAGTGAAACCCAGTGCGGGGTAGTAGAATATAAATTATGCTCACTGAATTGACTTGAATTCTTTGGGTTGCCTTTTATATAACTAATGTTTACAATTACTAGAAAAGAAAATCCTCGTTTAATTCATTAACAGGGAGTATAAATGGAGCATCAAGGGGAGAGTGAACATCGTCCTGATCTCATAAAACTCTTTAAACTCAACTAAGCTGTTTAAAATGGGAGTTCCTTTCCCTCTATCACTGTATCTTTTTTCTTGATTGAGAGAGACTGTTGTGAAGAATATATTATTCCTCGAAGTGTAGAATGCTTCTGTAACAAAGAACTTAATTGCTGAACTGTATATAAGGTGCCAAAGATATTACTATGTATTTTAATGGATGAAGACAACAGTTGATTGTTTGCCCTAAACAGGAAAAGATGAGTTTAAAGAAGATAAAAAAGTTACATTTTGCCTTGGAATATACGTATTTTTTACCTTTTAAATTTTAGTTTTGCTCATCTAAAAAGTTGAAATTTAGTATGCAATTTCAGATTGGACACAATGATAAAAATAATATTCTTGTTTTAAGAGGGAAGTATAAATATATTAAAATGAGCTCAGAAATTAACAATTTAGGAATTGAAATTGACCTGTATACAAGAAGGTATACCCTATGGTTAATACTTTAATATTATACCCATTTAATAGTAACATTTACTCCCAATGAATTCTGAATTTTTCCTCTCTTTTAGGTCATAATTTCTTTTCTCTGAATGCCATAATGTATAAGCGTGAACTTGTACATTAGATATTTAAATTGCATTGTAAAAAGAATACCTAACCATAGTTGTGTTTTTTTTCCTTTCCTGGTGGTTTGCTACTAGAATTATTCTTCATAGGCTTTATCTTCATGGGATTCTTCTTTTATATACTGATTACGAGACTGACACCTATGAAGTATGATGGTAAGTAAAAATAATATAGTTTAATTGCATATTAAAAGAAAGATGCTATGTTTACACTCCACCTTTGCTTCTATAGTTTGGCCAGTATTGTGTATAATATGCTATTATGTGTGTAAAAGAATAGAAAACACATGTACCAAACATCTTTTCTAAACTGCTCAGTCAGACCTTCTCTTCCAAGTTTTTCGTAATTGGCAAATTAATACTTAGGGAAAGGAAGGGCCACGTGGGTTATAAATCTGTGTCCCAGCTGTGTGGTATTCAATATATTGAAATGTGAGATTTACTACAGTCAAAATGTTGATTTTCTTTACTTTAAAACAAACACAAATCCTCCTTCCTTGTCACGCTTAACAGAATACGTGTCACCCCTTCTTCCCCAGCCCCAATTTATAGGTGGTGCCAGGCCATGCCTGCCACTAGTTCTGGAAGGTTTAGCTCCCCCGCTATCATTCATGTCTCAGACTGGCCCCTCCTTAGGGCCCACTGATGGCTGGTTTCATAGCGCCACTGAAGAGCCCACCGCCCTTCTGTTGGTGCTCGGCCAACAGAAAGGCTAAGGAAGGCTAAGTAATGGTATACTGTGTCTAAAGCACACAGCCAGAGAAGCTAAACAGTTCGTCTTCTCTCTCTGTGCAGTTCGTCTGATTCTGACGGCCGTCGCTGGAAGCGTTGGTGGGATTTCCTTGGTAGCCGCCTGGTGGCGATTTGGAATCCTCATGCCCTGCATGCTGTGTGTTGGACTGGTGCTGGGCTTCCTCATCTCGTCAGCGATTTTCTTCACTCCTCTGGGTAAGAGATACGTAACTAATGTGTGTGTCCAGATCATTGTCTGAAAGGTCCTACTTGGGCTCTCTAGGTAGAGATACCGCTTCATCAGGGATTTGGAAATTTGCGCTTGATGATGTGGCGTTTTAGGGGGGGCCGGTACTAATAAGGATCCCTCTTTCCTCAAAGGCACCTGTACTGAATGACTTGTAGAATGTCTTTAGAGGTAGCTTTGTACCTATTTTTTGTGGTAAGGTATGTGTCTATGTGTGTTTCTGTTAGAATTAATGGAGGTAAAGGTCATCCTTAATATATGGCAGAACAGTGGTTTTTGTGTTTGTTTGTTTTTTTAAAGCCTTGAACTCTTTACTCAAATGACTCTTAAGCAGCAGCGGATATATCCCACAGATAAATTTGGTGCTGCTTTGATGGCAGCTGAGTTGGGGAACTGGTGCTTTGTTCTCAGTCTTCTCTTTTGACCTATAACTTCCACTCCCACCCTTTGCCAAACCTTGTGATTCTAAAGTACCTACTTGTAGACCTCCTGGGGCAGAAGCACAGAGTTGGGTTTTTGTTTTTTTTTAAATTTTTTTTAAGTAATTCAATTTCTATCAATGTAAACAAAGTTAACATGTAAGTGAGCTTTCTTTGCAGTTGTGCAATAACTTAAATTTCTGGATTGTTGTCAAAATGGAAAAGAGTATCCACATTCCAAGTACTCTATTAGGCTATACCCTTCTTGTGATAATGGTTAGTTTTTAAATTATAATGTCAGATTCAGGTTGATGGGAATGCTAGACAAAAGGATAGCTGTCTCTTGAGCTATCGACTCTTGAGAACATAGGGTATAACAGAGTGCAGTCTTAAACAAATCTTTAGAGAGCTTTAAGACCAAAGAAAATTGACAACTTTTGTGTTTACTGACCATTAAGAGGCCCTTTTGTTCCAATTTTAGCAAACCTAGAGCCAGGTTCATTCCCACAGCCCATCCTGCAGGGAGCTTTTTAAAAAATTGTTTATTCTTTAATTTGTGTGAGTGGGAATGCAAATTGGTGCAGCCATGATGGAAAACAGTACAGAGGTTCTGCCCAAAATTAAAAGTGGGCGTGCCTTATGACCCAGCAGTTCCACTTCTGGGTATATATCTGAAGAAACCCAAACACTGATTCAGAGGGATATATGCACCCCGTGCTCATTGCAGTACTATTTACAATAGCCAAGATACGGAAGCAACCCAAGTGCCCAACAATAGATGAGTGGAGAAGAAAGCTGTGGTAATACATACAATGGAATATTACTCATCCATTAAAAAGAATGCAATAGCAATAGCATTCCATTTGCAATAGCACGAATGGACCTAAGGGGTATTGTGCTGAGTGAAATAAGTCAGACAGAGAAAGACAAATGCTACATGATTTCACTTATATGTGGGATCTGTGGAACTCCCACCCTTCCGTGATACATGGGTCTCAAGATACAGGTCCCCTCCAGGTGGACTGAATGATGGTGCCAGTGTCAGTATTAAGCAATTGTCAGGCTTGTATTCTTGCTATTTAAACTTAGTTTATAAATAGGAATTCTAATATATTCCTCCTGGGTCACTCAAGGTGTGCCACATTTTGGGGAAAGTTTAGTAGGATCAGGTGAGTGGTTAGCTCCTGTCTTTCCAGATGCATTAGGAGATCACATCTTCCAGGATGCAGTGGCTGGGCAGGAAGTGCTTTGATGGTAAAAATCTACTAAATAGATTTTGCTGCTTATATTGGGTGGGAGTTCATGTAGTTAACTCTGAAGGCCATTTACCTGTATGTTTTACTTTGCAATACAAAATTGTGGAATCAAAGAAATTTAGAGTTTTAGACTGGATGACTTGGAGTTTGGAGATGAAGTGGTTCAGTCTTCTCATTTTATGGGTTGGGAAACTGAGGCGCAGCTTCACAGCTGGTGAATGGAAGAGCTTGGACTATCAGGCCTCTTCTGAATGATCCTGCTTGGTTTTACTCCTACACCTCTACCTGCTAGGACACGCCCTTCAAAGATGATTATATTAAGGGTTAAATGAATAAAATCAGAATTCATTTCTAACTGCCAACACATTCTCCGGTTGTTACATTAAACCTTCTGTGTACATCTATGTTCAGATATTGAGAAAATGAAATTTAACTTGGTGAACCTATTGTTTACTCCTGGTTTCTTTTTGCTTTTTCAGGAAACCTAACAATATTTAATAATGATGAGGTATTCTGGGTGACCTTCTCCGGTATAGCAGTTCTCATTCCAGTAATTTTGATGGCTGGCCTGAGAATAGTAAGTGTTTCATCAAAAGTTAGATTTATTTATTATATTGTCCTGGGCCTTCAGTTGTTCACTTATTGCGTCAGTTTACATGTTTTATTCACTGGGGAGAGCCTCAGATGAGTAATTTTAAATAGCCTTGTTACTATGAAAGCAAGAAAGTTCTAATTACAATTACCATACAGTGTTTTTATAATCAAGTGGAGCAGGTTATCACTGTTAACATGCTTTCAACAGTGGGAGCAGAGAAGGTAGAACTCACGGTAGTGCAACAGCCTGATGGATCATTAGCTGTCTCTCCAAAAGAAAGGTTCTTCATCTAATTAAACTTTATCGTTGAAGTTCTTCCACAGGGGAGATAATTTTGTACAAGGTAAACTGTGTTTTAAGGCGTTACTGTGGGCGTCCAAGATTATTTTCAGTTTATCTTTCCAGGTAACCTTTATTCAGCTCTAAGGCTTGGTCCCTTTTTGTGTGTCTCGCGGGAGCAGAAGTGAATCCCTGTGATTGAGGCCAGTGAGATGAGAGTTAGAAACTATTCTTGTTCTACCAGAGGTGAAGCCTAAACTTTCCCACTCTTCCGCAGCTGAACATACTGGCTTGTGGATTCGTTGGCTCCTATTCGGTGGTCTTGGCCGTTGACAGTTACATGTATACGAGCCTTTCTTACATCACTTTGAATGTACTCAAGAGAGCACTCAGCACTCATTTCCGCAGCGCTTTCACAAATGTGCCTTTTCAAACTAATGGTAAGACTCTAAGTCCACGAATCAGAGTGACAGTCCCCTCGGAATATTGGCCCACCTCTGCTATCAAAAGCAGTTGGTAATTAGATTGAAAGAAGGTTAACTGGGGGCGGGGGGGGGGGGCAGAAAGTAACTGGACACAAGAAACAAACACTATACAAATGCTAATAAAGGCCTCTGTTAATAATTTAATGATCACAGAAGGAAGAATTTAAATTTAGAAGTTCATACTTCTAAAAATCTACTAAAGGAACTTCGTTAAGAAATTTCTACATCAGGATGATTTAGGTTTACCTGGTCAGTTCCCAGTTGTGAGAAAAATGATGAGACTAAAGATGGTACCTAATTAGGGGGCTGGGCGGGGTGAGGGGTGAGTGACAGCCTGGTTTTTTAAGTTATTCCCTATTTCCCTCCTTTAAAAAAAGCGTGCAGTTTGCTCACTGAAAGTGAAAGTGAGTTGTAGTCATGAAGTGTATTATTTCCTTAGTTGTTAGATTTCTACCCATTAAAGATTTTCCATTAATTTTTTGAAGGAAAAAAGACTACTAAATTAAGTGTTAACAGAGATTATAAGATAAATTGGTTTCAGAAATGTTAAAACATGGAGGATAGAAAAGCATGTCTTAGAATCGAAAATGTACAAGCACAATGATGATTGTTATGAATATGTAAGGACAAATCTTCCCCTGTACTATCCTTAGCCTGCCCTCGTTGGATAAGAAGTTGATGGTAGAGCCCTGGCTGGTGTGGCTCGGTGGATTGGGTTTTGTCCTGAGAACCAAGAGGTCGCTGGTTTGATTCCCAGTCGGGGTTCATACCTGGGTTACAGGCCAGGTCCCCAGTTAGGGGGCATGTGAGAGGCAACCAATCCATGTTTATTTCACACATCAATGTTTCTCTTCTGCTCTTTCTCCTCCCTCCCTTTCCCTCTCCCTAAAAATAAATAAATAAAATCTTAAAAGAGGATGACGGTAGAGACCTTGAAATCCACGTGTCTTGTAAGTTTTATGTACAAGACGATATTTTGCCAAGCCTTTTCACTAGACACTGAATACAATTTGTTGAACTCTTCGTGAGTTTCTGTACCTACTCTATATGGGTGGGTGGGGGCTGGGGGAAAAGAGAGCAAGGCGGCTTCCAGTGTTCCCTGACGTACCTTCGGGAGGCATGCCTAGACTGCTGCCTTCTTCCCCCTGCCCTGCGGGGAAGAAACACGTCAGACAGCTAGTCCTGAGGGCACTGGTCATCAAATACTGGAATGTCAAGCATCCAAGCAGCTGGTTTCTTTACAACCTGTCTGGACTTTGAGACATCCGTAATAGAAAATGCCTGTTTTCAAATGTCAGACTATAGCTTTCTCATTCATTCCTTGGTTTGTAAGTAAGGAAATAATGTATGTTTGGACAAACTCACCATGAAGTCTAATATACTAAAAAAGGATGGCATAGATTTAGGCTATGAAAGGTTACATGTTATATCTGCTAGGTTTTAAAATACATAGGTTCAGACTGTGCTTTTTACTGTTTTTTAGACTTTATCATCCTGGCAGTATGGGGTATGCTGGCTGTGAGTGGAATTACATTGCAGATTCGAAGAGAAAGAGGACGACCGCGCTTCCCTCCCCATCCATACAAGCTATGGAAGCGAGAGAGGGAGCGCAGAGTAACCAACATCCTGGACCCCATCTACCACATCCCTCCACTGAGAGACAGGCTCTATGGCCGATTAACCCAGATCAGAGAGTTCTTCCAGAAGGAACAGCCAGCTGGAGAGAGAACACCCCTGCTTCTATAAATGCCAAAGGGCTTGGTCAGTGGGATCTTCCAGGCACTGCCTCGGCCTTGGCGTTGATGTCCAGCCGGCTTCAGCAACCTCCAGTGCAAGTCTAATAAGAAAATGGGCTTATGTGCTGTGTGTGGTGCCCTTCCTGATGTGTGGTAAGGCTATGCCAAGGAGATTATGATAATTCTAAGTAAGTGAAGAAGATGACCAAAAAACTGATGGTAGGGAGGCTTTTCCTTATTCCAGAATACTTAAGAAATTACCTTTTGGTTTACATGTTCAACTTAAAACTCCTTGAACAATTCTGTCACCTGAGTCTGTCTAAACCTGCAGGGCAAGGGCACAGAGGGTGGTTTGATTTAAGTGTTAGACTGAATTTTTTGCCACTTTTAAGAGGTTTAGGGATTTAATACTGGGTCTTTGAACTTCAGAGTACAAAAGAAGGAGAACTAACTTAAAAGCAGTCAGACTACTTAGTTGAATCTTTCATAGTTTCATATATTATCAAAAGGTACTGTTCTTTTGCTTATTTTTGTGATAAAAAACATTTATCGTATCATTTTAGGTGTATAGTTCAGTACCTTTTGTTTTTGACTTTTATTGCTTAAGATGGTAATTTAAATAGCTAAATTATTTCAGTTATTTGAAAATAGGTCGAATTTATATAAGTAACAGAACTTTTATATGTATGATTTATTTATATTCCATATGATGGCATATAAATGCCATTTGTTTCTTTCAGAGCCCTTTAACGTACTGTTGACAGCTGATCTGATTTTAATATTAGATGAAATACAAATTGTTTTGCTTTTTAGGATACAGATTGCTCATACCTTAATCTATAGTCCCATTAATAAGGAAATCTTTTAAAAATTTGCATTTTGTAATTCTTTCTACTAAATTAGTTATTAGCATTGATGTGAAATACAACTTCAAAAAAAATCTCTTTTGTATGAAGCCTTTGCACCATCTGTGTTTTAAAGTGACGAAGGAGTCAAAAAAAAGTCAGGTGTTTAATGGAGCTGCTTTTTGAATCAGGACATTGGCATTTTAAGGCGAGTCCCTTCGGTTTTGACCCTTTTCCCCCCCCATAAGAAAGTACCTGGATGCCCTGGGCTGTGTGCCTGCTCCTCATGGCCTTTTCTCTTATCCGCCAGAGCCTCCGCCACCGGTGGCCCTGCGCTGGACTGGAAGCTGGCGACTCTGACATGCCTGAGTGACAGGGCGTTGTGGTCATGGGCACCCTTGTAAGTTAACCACTATTTGAAATGATGCTGCTTTTAGGGGGGTTTTCAAAGCACAATAGATTTCTGAAGTTTCAGGTAACTGAAAAATTTTCAACGTTTGCTTTTAAAAGTGTTTTGGAAAGGCTGAAACAAAAGGAAAAATATAAAACTAATCATTTTTCTTTGAAAAATTATACACAAGTGTTCGTTTACTGTTTATTCCTAATCGACAGTTTATATAATTGCAGTAACACTTAAACTTGAAGAAAGAATTTTTTTTAATAACTCACTGTAAGGATTGTGGCTTCTGCCATATCTTTGTACATTCTAACAAAGTTATATGGAATATTTGTGAGTTATTTTCTAAACCACCAAAATGCACTGCCAGTGAAGACTGTAAAGATAGAACACACTGTTATGGAGGGGGATACAAATTGTTAAGGAAGTTTTATGGTAATTTGTGAATTATAAACAAATTTGTATAATTTTTTAATAATAAAATCTTATTTTGAAAAATGCTAAAAAGTCTCATTATCAAATTCTTTTAAAAATTTTTACCAAATATATTTGTACCATACTAACAAGACATAAGAAGACAGTTTCATAGCTATAAAAACAAAATTAATTAGAAAAATAATTTTTTGAAAAATCAGTTTAAGCATAAATGAAATAATAGGAAATGAAGGAAATCTGGGCAAGCTGTTGTCCTTAATGGATTAATTTGTGTTAGTATCATTAGAACTTCAGGTGTGTCAAACTGAAGACAAGTAGGGTACTATTACTGGAAAATTATACTGCTCTTTAAATGTTTTGTTTCTGATAACCTGTTACCTTCTGGCAAGCAGAGGCCTCAGTGGGAACCGACCTTGATTTTGGACCTCTAGCCTCTGGTGAGAGAAACCAATTTGTGCTAAGCCACCTAGTCTCTGTTATTCTGTGATGGCAGCCCTACCAAACTAGGACCCTTCAAAATCCTTTTACCCTGACTATTGATTGCAAGATCTCTGCACAGTTTGTCCGTTGTGTCTACAAGAACTGCCCTTTATTACATCAAGGTAGAGAGGAGTTCAAGTAAATGGGAACTTGGGCTTATGCGGGGACTACGATAGAATCATTACCCTGGGAGGGTCGGCGGGTCGGGGTCAGGCCACATCGGCACAGAGGTAAAATCCTTAGAAATTATACAGTGATCGTAGTCCTTGACCTAGATCCCATCTTCACTCATTCAGTAAATATTTTTTTGAGTTCCTAAGGATCAGGCTTTGTCTTGGGCCCTCAGAAGATGGCAAGCAATACAGGCACAGCCCCTGCCTCAGGGCATAGGGTGTGATAAGTGAGACAGATTCTAAAATAGTTGAACATTTATGGGGTTGGGGGACGGTGGTAGATGGAACGCCAGGGAAGAATTCCTTGAGAAAGTGACATTTAAGCAGGCCTGAGAATGAGGAGTAGCCAAATCACAAGGAGGCAGGTACATTCCATGTAGTGGGTGAAAAAGCATAAGCAAAAGCTTCCAGGCCTTCCTTGATGGAGAGCCCCAGTGGACTCTCACTTGGAAGCCCAGCCAGTCATCACAGCCCTTCATTTTGGTGCCCGGTGGGGTCAGCTGTCTTCCCGCTTTTGGCATTTTGAGCAGCTGATCCAGACAGGATGTTGTCAATCTTTCTTTTTTTAATTGATGCATAATTGACATATACCATTCTGTAAGTTTAAGGTGTAAATGTGTTCATTTAATACATATATGTATTATAATGACCATACCATTGGCCTCACACCTCTATCACATTTACATCATAATTTGTTTTTGTAATGAGGACAGTTAAAATTTAGTTTCTTGGCAACTTTAAAATTTATAATACAGTATTGCAGACTATAATCCTTCAGGGCGAAAAAGCCTTATTCTCTCTCCTGTGAGGTTCCTGAGGTTCATGGATGCTCCTGCTAATGGATTCCCTGTTGCCCAGACTAGCTTGAATTGCTCTTGCCTTCTGGACTCACGGTGGGTGTGCTGGCAAGAGCATGGCAATGAATGCAGCTGGAAAAGTGAGACACAGTAAGTGTCTTGGCTCCCTGGTTCTCTGTGAGCTGTTTTCAGCAGTTGAAACAGACTTCAACTCCTTTTTGTTTATTTTGCTTTATTATTTTTTAATCCTCACCTATGGATATATTTTATTGATTTGAGAGAGAAAGAATGTCGATGTGCGAGAGAAACACCAACGGGTTGCCTCCTGCATGTGTGGATGGAACATGGTACCCAGGCATGTGCCCTGACCCGGAACTGAACCTGCAGCCTTCTGGTGTACCGGGTGACGCTCCAACCAACTGAACCACCCAGCCAGGGCTCAGTGCCTTTTAGTAACAAATCACCAGTCTCAGCCCGGGATGGTGTTGCCCAGTGTATTGAGAGCTGGCCTGTGAATGGATTCCCAGTCAGTGCACATGCCTTGATTGCAGGCCAGGTCCCCAGTTTGGGGGTGTGCGAGAGGCAAACAATCGATGTATCTCTTGCACATCGATGTCTCCCTCTCTTTCTCTCTCTCTTCCCGTATCTCTGAAAATAAGTAAATAAAAATCTTCAAAACAAAATCCAGCTGTCTCATTTGGAAGAGACCATGTATCAAGTAAGATTCCTTAGAATGACTAAAATATATGTATTGTTAGGACTGGGCCTAGAGGTCTGGAGGACTAACTTCAGGACGAGATTGAAGGCTTCCTTTAGGGGTTGGGAGGGCTCTCCTCTTGCTTTATGCCTGAAGGTTTTTCAACAGAGGACAGTCTTGCATTCCACAAGTAGAGCTACTCAACTCTTCTTCCAACCAGCTCTTTTCACAGAATTCCTTTCTACCGAATAAAGAATCTATTTTGAACTTCTTGTATTCTGTGTTTAGAGTCTGCATGAACTAGGAACTAAAACTTATATTTGAGATGTCTTAATGTATTCTAGGGGGAAGTTAACATTTGAGAAATTCATTCATCTGATCTCACATCCGCCTTTGCTTTGGTAGGACTGAACACTTGAGCACTGATTGATGCTGAAATTTGCGATGTAGCTGCCAAATCCTCAACATTTTAAAGTAGCCAAAGGCCAGCCCTATTCATCTTCAACTGTATATACAAACAGAAGCAATATGCTGAGGCTTGGGGTTATGTACAATCTCAACAGGGGCAAGCATAGGGAACACTGATTCTAACCAGCTTTGTTATTTGTTAGTTTTATAGAAAGCCCAAATGTAGCCTTCCTCTCAGGTCTGATACTCAAGAAGTATATTCTGTGTTTCAAGATTAATATATTTTTTATTTTTGGGTCTAATTTTACCTATTGGTACTGATTTCAATACAGTGAATTTTCTGAAGGCTTTGGTTGCTCCAAAACAGTAAGTTTACTCTTTATTTTTGCTCATATGGAAAAACAAAACAGAACAAAAAACTTGCAATGGTAGCATTCATTGAAAGAAAACATTACAAACAATCTAAATACCCATCAATAGGGGGAATAGTTGAATAAAGTATGACACAGTTATGCAATGATAGCTACAAAAAAACTTTGGTGCGCACGCAACATAAACTAACTGGCTAATGTATATAAACAATGGAATTAGTTGCAAGTACAGCTCACCCTTGAACAATGTGGGGGCTAGGGGCACCAACCCCTCATAGTCAAAAATTCATATAAAACTTTGGACTTTAAAAGCTTAACTACGGTAGTCCTTCAGTATCCATGGGGGATTGGTTCTAGGAATCTCGTGGATACTGGACATCCATAGATACTCCAGTCTCCTATATAAAATGGTGTAGATCAATGCATACAGCTGACCTATCACATCTCTGGGCTCCCAACTGTGGATTGACTACAGTACAGGTATTTGCTGACAAAAATGCACATGCAAGTAAACCCATGCAGTTCATACCAATGAGTCAATGGACAATGAGTTGTTCAAGAGTCAGCGGTATACTGATGTTTGCTTCTAAATATTTCTCACTGCTTTTTTTTTAACATAGTTTTAATCATATGTACAATTTAGTGTTACACTTATGCAAATTTAGGTATCTTTGGGTATTTTCCTTCCTGTTGCTAGAATCTTCAAGCCATGGTATAATAATAAACTGCACTGAGTAGATACTGATAATTTAACTTTTAGATTATTTAATTAAATTTACAATTTCCCTATTATAGGATATTTAGGTTGAATCCAATTTGTTTAATACTATCATACTGTGGCTTTAACCAGGGGAAGCAGTGGAGATGGTGAGAAATGGTAGGATTCTGATATATCTGGGAGAGTCCACAGGATTTGCTGATGAACTTGGTGCAAGATATAAGAGGAAGTGGAATCAAAGATGACGTGAAGGTTTTTTGCCTTAGCAGCTAGTAAAATGTTATCAACTGAGATGGAGTGGGGCGGGGGCGGGGAGGCGGGAAGGAGTACTATGGAAAGGTCCGGGATTCAGATTAGGAGTTCAGCTGTGGACATCCTGAATTTGAGGTATCTCTCCAATTGTCACAGTTGAATGAGCCTGGAGTTAACAAGAGGTCTAATGGGAGCTGTAAATTTGGGAGTCATCCAGCATACAGGTGGTATTTAAAGTCATGGGATTGGGTGAGATCACCAAGGAGGTGAGTATAGATAAATAATAGGAGTAAGAACTGAGCCCTGGGGTTAAGTTGGAGTCCTAATTAATTGAGTCCTAATGTTCAGTTGGAGAAAAAAAGGAACAAAAGAATTAGGGGCAGTCAGTGAGGTAAAAAGAAAACGTCCCTTCAAATTTCAATTAGAAATTCTTCTCTGACAGTCAAAAGAGATAGTGGTCACCAAAAATTAAGTTCTGGATTTATGATACTAACATCATTGAGGCTCTTTAGAAATACAGAATTTGGGAAGTCACCTTGATAGTAAGTATCAAAGAATATCAATTTGAGCAGAAAGCATTTTATCTTTGAAGTTCTATATAACTGGTTTTTCAGAATTGCATTCCCTACATAGGATAAAAACTGAAGTGGGTAGATGACACATGATAGATGTGGTCGATTCCTAGGGCTGCTATACATTATCACTGGCTGTGTAGCTTAGCAGAAATTTATTCTTTCACAGTTCTGAAAATCAAAAAAGCCAGAAGTCTGAAATCAGTCAGGGTTGCTCCCTCTGGAATGTCTGAGGGAGAATTCATTCCATGCTGCTCTCCCAGCTTCTGGTGGCACCGCATAATCCTTAGGGTTCCTTGACTTCCTAACTCTCTGCATCTGGCCTCTATGGCTTTTTCCTCGTGTCCCTTCCTGTTTCAAATCTCTCTTGTAAGGACACGGGTCACTGGATTTAGGGCCCATCCCAAATCCAGAATGATCTAATACTAAGGTCCTTCAAACTCTGCAAAGACTTTATTTGCAAAAGCGGTCACATTGCTACAGAAGGTTAGTAGGACCTGAATATGCCTTTGGGGGAGACGCTCTTAAACCCACCACAGAAAATAAAAATGTTTTCAGTGTCGATAATAAGTTGCTGGCCAATTCCACAAATGTATAGATAGACGTTGTTGCTAAGTATGAGTTTTATGGTAAGAAGCAATAAAGCACCTTAAAAATGAATGGAAGTAAGCACTGTTTTCAAATTAACTTGGAGAGCATATGAATTTTAATCACTCATCTTTATTGATAAAATAGGCTCCTATGCACTACATACCTTCAGACATAAATTTAAAAAAAGTTTGGGATGGAAAACTTTCTATATAACAAAGTAAATGTCTTTAAACACCAAGATCTTAAAATTATATCCAAGTAAGAAGACTAAGAATAAATTAACTTATTTGTTTACAAAAATAATTATTTATCAAGTAATATTTTATAATAGAGCTGCCTCAATGAACTGCCTCAGACTTAATCTCAACTGTGTATCATATTTTCTTTAATTCTAACTTGGGATAAAAACTATATGAATGAATGTGCCATCAAATTAAGGGGTACTTTCCCAAAAACAAATAGAAAAGTTTAAAAATAAAAACTGTCATTTATTTATAAAACATTAAGGCCTCTGAATGAAAACAAAAATCAATTTAATGTCTGGGTCTATAGCCCTTTTCTAGTCAATCAGCCCCATCAACCCCACTTACCCCAAACTTAAGACAGAAAAATTCTGAAAAGTAGTTTTAAATTTCACCAGTCTATGAAATTATACATAAAAATCACCATGTAAATATTTAATAGATTTATACTCAAAAGTAATTTTTCTATTGTGCTAATTTTAATATGTATTTAATATAAATGAGCATAATATATTTGGTCATATCTGACAGTGTTATCCTTTTATTCTGTACTCACCCCAAAATAATAAAAATTTAGATTTCAATTGATGTTAAAGCACACTTCTATTTTTGGTGGCTTTAAAAAATCTACATATACTGGATATATATTTTATAAAAAAATAAAACAAATACTTTTAACTCCATTGATTATTTTGGTCCCTCTTTTAACTGAAAGGTTATAAAAAAAATCTTATTGGTTATGAGGACCAGATGGTGCTTAAGAACAGATCCAGAAATTTTTTTTTAAATTTTATTTTACTTTTTCTATCTCTCTTAATAGTTACTTTGTAAAAAGGGCTTTATGAGGCAGAAGATTTCCCAATATGCTATGCAATAACCATACCTAGCTTGCTTTGTCAAACATTTCAACTCTGTTAGGCAAATGAACTCCATAATATCCTTAAAGATCAACCAGAGAAGAATCTCATCTTCATTACTGATTTAGAACCAAAACTTAGTCTTTCAAAGGAGTAGTTTAACCTACTAAGTATGTCTCTTAAAAGATCTTCTTTCTTAGAAAGTAGTATTCCTTGTCTTTCATTCCTGAAACTATTTCATATGCTTAGCAGTTATGGACAATTGTTTGCTGAGTATTAATTATGGTAAATTAGCTAAAATTAAATTATCTCTTTTGTTTATGATGCATATAAAACATTCCTACAGCTTTTCAAACTGAATTTTCTTTGACAAAAATTTAAATTAATGGGAAGGTCACAGGCAATTATTAATGCTAAAGTCTCATGGTACATAAGCTATTTGTTGACTCTGACACCAAACAGGGAGGAAAAAATTTAGAATGATCTTCTATTCACCAAACTGTGGCAAAATCTGTATTTTAAAATTGGGATAATTTTATAAATTCCCAAACATTTATTGGGAATATTCCTCTTTATCCAAGTACCATCCAGAAAGCCAACAGCACTACTGAAAAATCTTGAAATGTTCAACAGTTGTGAAAATCTTCAATTTGTTCAACAATTAACAAAGTCTTAGTTTCTACTTTTCAACTGTATTTTTGAATAAAGTCTATGACCACGAACTATGCATTTTTTTTGTTGCTATCTCTTAAAAATGTCATTGCCAGTGCACTGTACACTGTACATATTATAGAAAATAAAAGGGTAGCTTGAGGTTGATTTTTCCGTAATTCATTCATTTTAGTAGGCCAGTCCCAGGGATTGTTTGGAGCCTTGTAAGAAGCCCACAGATTCTTCAGCTCTTTCTCAGGCTCAGGTCACTAGTGGTCACTAATGCTGACAAAGATGTACTTTCTGATACATCGTCTTTTCTCAGGTTCAAAAATGATTCTCGAGTTATCTGAAGGATCTCTCTTAAGCCTTTGTTTTCTTGCTATAAAAAGGCAAACAAAAACAAAGATGCAGTCACCAAGGTAGCTACAAGAGTACAAACATATCTTAAGAAAAGCCAAACATATGACAAATAAAAAGCAAGGCCTGTAAATGACAGGCACTAAATGATAAATGCAGTTGAAGATGCCAACTTGAGTCCAGAGACCACATTTTTAAAGAGGTAGGAATCATGTGTTCAAGGTCTTCCACTCCTACAGTCTTCTTATTTATGCAGCTGTAATTGTAGATGGAACCTGAGAAACTGCCTCATTTTACAATCACAGTATAGGTGAAGAAAATAACATCTAGATTTATTTTTTTTATAAACTCAGGAAGTTTGTAAATAATACCCTGGGACTATAACCTATTAGTACTTTAGTACTTTTATTACTTTCCATGATAGCATGAAATGCAAGACAAGCCAACTGGTTTGCCTTCCTTACTGGGATTCAGCAGCAGCAGGGCTGGCTGAGTAAATTGTGATGTTTTTCAAGAGAGAAAGTAAGTGACCAAATCTAGCACTGGTAAACAACCTTACCTTTTTTCTAGTTAATGGAAGAAATCTGCAGACATTTAAAAATAACCTTAACAATTTATTCCCTACCACTATACCTTTGGTTTTTCTTTCTCAGTTTCAATGGCATAAGGCAGGGATGAGCAAACTACAGCCTGGCTGGAGGTCTGTTACTGTAAATTAAATATTTCTGTAAATTCTGCATTACAATGGCCTAGTTGAGCTGTTACAACAGAGACTGTCTGGTTTATAAAACCTAAAGATTTACTATCTGGCCCTTTACTTAAAAAGTTTGCTTCTTCCTGTTGCAAAGAATGAGAGAAACTTGTAGGCTTTGAGAGGGAAGTAATCTTCGGCTTTCTATAACCAATTTCTCCAAAGAGTTTCAAAAAGAAGTTTTCAAAGCATAGAAGTCTATTCTATGGATTTGGATTATTCAACAATGATTTATGCTTTCATTGCACAAAATAAAGGACCATAATTTATGGGATATATTTTCTGGCATGAATCTTTGTATGAGCAGTTTTCACTCACATTTACAATTTAAAACTTACTTCAAGTTGAAATATTCTTTCCTGTTCCTTACAACCCTGTTGCTCATCAATTTCAATGGCTTTCCTCATTACTGCTGCCATTTCAGTTATCTGGTCAACATGCGCTTGTAATTCCTGAAAAAAAGAGTTGGGAGTTGCAAATTAGTGAAATATTGTATTATTTTTATTTTTGGATCCTCTCCTTTTTATCAAATCTGCATTGCAACTTAATATGAATGTAACACTTATACACTGCCATTTAACATGAATTAATATATCAAAACATATTTATAAAAAAGCTGACCAACCATGATCATGCTTTTGAAATCAGATTTCTGTCGGGACTAGAGTTAGGGATAAGCAGAACAATTTAATTAAACCCACTGGTAAGAAGAGTACTCATATTTCACACTCTTCTCACTACAAATGATCAGCAACTTTTTCTTTTTTTTGCAACTACCTACACTATTGATCAAAGTAATGGGAAAGATAAAAATTTATGACACATTCAATTTCTTTCTCCCAAAGATGTCATGACTTATAAATATTTTCTGTATTACTCATGCTTCAAAATTTATCTCAGCCCAATCTAGAACCCTTCTGAATTACAATCCTCTTCAACAGCAGAGACTATACTGTGCTTATATTTCCGTACTAGTGTCCAGTACATAATCTGTAATAAATACGGAGTAAAATGAACATAGTTCTGCTTTTAAGTATCAAAATAATAAATGGCCTCTTTGCAAACTGTTCAAAATATAATTTCAGTATAAAATAGACATCCACAGGTTTTTTGGTGCAACAAGTAACATAAATTTCTTCCAATCACATTCATTATTTTGCACGGCTACAATGTGTCAGGCACTGTCCTAGGCAACAGAAATATGAATTCTGTGAACACACAGTCCCTGATTTCAAGGAGCTTACAGACAAGTGAAAGATACAGACAAAACCGTTAAAATCAACATAAGCTTGAGAATAATCATTTTTTAAATGAAAAGCTTCTACAGACCATTATTCACTGTCAATTGAGGCTTATTTTACTATATTAATAAATACAAAAGTTAAATACAGAAGTTAACGACTCCCCAAATAACCATGAAGTCTCTTAAATAGTTGTTTAATTTCTATTTGTAGAAAGGATGTGAACAGGACCCCCTAAAACTTACAAAACTAGTAAACTGTGAAATGATGGAGAACAAATAGGAATATCTTTAGCAAACACATATTTAATACCTTCTTAAACAACTGAAATGCAGGTCCTTCTATTATTTTAATGGGGAAACCTGTACAATGCTAGTACACAGAAAAGGCAAAAATAAAGGACTAATCAACATTGTCTAATATGGTGTTAAATTTACATTAAATAAAATCAAATACATCTAAAGAAATTAGCAACTCAGTTCTCCAGCTGCACTCATGACACTGCAAGCAACTCAAAAGCCACAGGTGGCTGGCAGCTCCCATACTAGACGACACAGGTAAAGAGCATCTCCATTGTTTCAGAAAGTTCTACTTGACGGCCCCAGATTAGATGATGGTAGCAAGAATGACATCAAGACAAACACCTGCCATATTCTGCAAAATGATTAAAATGCCTCCCAATATAAAGGGAGCATATAGTGTCTAAAAGTAAGTTAAGGACAAATAACTACAGATGCAAACTGAATAATGATAATGAGTAAACATTTTGAATACAAACAACTTTCCCAGTTTTTGATTTTTTGTGTCCCATGTGACTGACCTGGGTTAAAAAACTACACAGGAAGTAAATAATTCTTTGCCTTTAAAATGGAAGACAACAAGATACCACCATTTTTTTTTAGGACAGAGTCTATTCTAATATAATCATTAGGAGTGGGAAAAAGCAGTTTTTTAAACAGAACAGTATTTTTACAGGTCCAGTTCATGGATGGTTCATTTATTACAATAAACTGTTTGGAGAAATATCATAGATCTTTCACTGGGCACAAAAGGTCAAGACCTGTGCTTTCAAAACTGTCCTAAAGGCAAGGAGTATCAGCAAAATAATTCTTGAACTGCCTTGACATGCCTTTTTCACTTGTAACTTTTGTTTAGGTTTATTTCAACTTTGTTCAATAAAGACCAGCTACAAGTAAGTTTGAAAAAAAAAAACCCAAACAGTTAAGACACAATGGCGTGTATGCTACTTCACTTAATAATACCTAAACAAAGGCATTTCAATTTTATTGTAAATTCACTAAAGGACCACAAACTGTCAAAATCTGAATTAAAATAGTTCATTTAATAATTTGATTGAACAACCTTGGCCGGGTAGCTCAGCTGGTTAGAGCATCAGCCCAATACACCAAGGTTGCAGGTTTGATGCCCAGTCAAGGCACATACAAGAAGCAACCAATGAATGCATGAATGAGTGGAACAGCAAATCGATATTTCTGTTTCTCTCTCTAAAATCAATAATTAAAAATAAAAAAATAATTTGAACAAAATTTTTATGAAATTCAGATTAAAATTAGTGCCAAGAACATATCTTTGATGTCCAGAAAAGAGAATAATGGTTTAAAGTTTACTAAATCTGCAGCAATAGCTAATAAGAAGGACAAAATGAAAAGCTGGCCAGAACAACTTTTAAGGCCTGTCATTATCTAACAGGATGTGTATGACACAATACACAGAGAATTAATGACAGACTTAAAGTTTCTATATTTTTTGCATGGCTATCAAAAGCACAGCATTTTAAAGTAATTTCATTTATTTGCTGATTTACTCTGGCAGGAAAACTCAATGTAAAAGAACTTTTTAAATGAATCCCCCCTTCCACCCACACCCCCAAAATTGACTGTTTTATTTAGTGTACATTCTGATTTGCTTCCAAGTGCCTCCTCTCCAGTCCATGTTGAGGTGCTTCAAGGATGTGTCGAGATGCATCAAGGAAGAATCCTTCGGAGTTGTTACGATGTACCATGTCAATCTGTAGTATAGAGTCATTATAATGTTAATACGGACATTATCCGTAATTTAAAAACTGAATGAGTGTTAGTTCATGCGTGTTAGCCAACTGTTTGAAATGTTTGCTTTTTTAAGATTTCCAAAAAGGCATCTGTTCAAAAATAATGGGGAAAAAAAATGAGTATTTGGGTGAAAATGAGTTCTCACTCTGACTCAAAAACGTTTGGGGAAGGGCAATATTCTACATTACAGTAGTCTCAAAAGGGTCTCTTATTCCAAAAATGCTGTTATATGTAACTCTGTTACCCATAAATGTGTTATAAAATTATTTTTGTGTTTAGGCATGTCAGTGCACTAGTTGCTAAACATGTTCTAAAATCTCTTATTTCTGCACCTTATTACACGAGTTTCTCTGCTCACCTACTTCTACTCGTTGACGCCCAACCCCCACTAGTTAATTCAAGGCTGAATACAGATATTCTTTTTTTCCTTAACCTTCCCCAATTCTCTTTATAAGAGCTAATCTTGCTTCCTCTAGTATTCCAGTAATAATTTCTTTTACTATTTTAGATTTCATCATATCCTGCCTTATATCAGAGTTATGTTTTTAGCTGTATCTCCCATTATACTGTAAGCTCCTGTGACAGAATAATGGAACTTATTCATTCATTCATCTTATTATTAATAACTAAGCCAGTGCAAGTGTTAATAGATGTTTGTTTAACTGAGTCAAAGTGTTTCCTTTTTGGGAAAAATCAAAATCACAAACATTAATATGTATTAGTTAGAATTAATAACGAGTAATTGAATAGCCATCATATTATGGAAGGCAAGGATCAGCACTTACGATGAATTTAATTTACATAATGAAAAAAGATGGTATACAGCTATCTTTAAAACTGTTTCATTCACATTGCTAGTTAATAAAACAACTCTGGTGAATGGTAAAATCTAAAGTGTTTTAGGAAACATTCACTTCTGTTACAGCTACTACCAGATGGGATTGGCAAGATGCAGTATCTTACTTTATGCATATTTTTGGGTCACAGTATTCTCTTTAGATCTTAAAAAAATTACTTCTTAGTGTATTAAACATAAAGACCCCTAAAATTTCTCAAGATCACATTATTTTTACCAATAATTTTAAGTCAATTCATATTTGTACCTTTAAAAAAACTCGTTACACATTTAAATATAAATATTTTTATAATAATCTCATTAACAAGAGATACATTTTATATTCAAAAGACTGCTACATAAACGGTCAATGGTTTCCTTTTGGTTAGGTGACAAATATAGCATAATTAGTTATTAAACCCATATTTATTTATTTAATTTACTACTTTACTATTTGACACAAGAGGTATCTGTTACTAACTTCTTCAAAGATCTACTTACTAGGTATTTAATGTTAATAGAATAATTAAATAATTTAAAAATACCTACAAGCACCATGATAGAATACACATTTTAAAGAATCCAAAAGATGTATCAATAATTGAGAAAGATAAAAATAAGTCTTAAAACAATCAGTATTTCTTAAATAATATTAGTTTTAACTACTAATAGTTAGCTCACCACTATCCATTACAGATAATGGCCTAGTAATTACAATCTAGTCTAATATTTTTACCTCATACCAGCAATTAAAATTCAGTTTAAAATGGAAGATAAATGGTAAAGACTATTCTACTTGTCTTCATAGCAGTTGTCAGCAAACACAAGGTCATACACAAAGGGAAGAGACACAGGGATGACAACAAGATGAAGAGAAGGAAAATACTAATTTTTAACCAGCTCAGCTATTACTGAAAATGATGTTCCTGATATGGGATTTGGGGGGAGGGGAGAAAATTTTAATATGTTGGTTCTTTTCCTCTCCTTGACCCTGTGTTTTTTCTATTACAGTCAAGATTATAATTTGAATCAGTTAGACTTATTCAGAAAATAGTTTTCAGAAAAACAAATTTACCTTTATCTGTGTTCAAATTTTTAAAGTTGTTTTCTGCATTTCAATTTTTGTTTTTGCAACAGATGTCAAAATATAAATCTATTAAAGAAATATGTTTTAAAAGCAGATGGCCTTATAAAAATAAATTTGAATTGAATACTTACCTTTATTTGCCAAATAAGGTTTACTTTTTAAATATATTAAAACTACTAGACACAAGGGAGTTAGAAGAGTAAATCTAACAAAATGATATATAAAAGGAAATGAAAAAAACAAGGAGAAATAGAAAACATTAAAAAGATAAAAATTTATCATGTGATTTAAAAAAAAATTCTGAACACAAGTTAACCAATTGTCCTTCTTTTCCATTTCAAATTATATTTATAGAATGGATTACCTTGGAGTGCTGCTCTTTCAACTTCATTATTATACCCGGATCATCTTTTTTGCTAGCCATTAGCAATCTAAACATTTGCTCGCGATACTTGCTCATTATAAGTTCCAAGGCAGACTGATGTTCTTCCAGGGATGTACGTAATTCTATCAAGAGTAACAGTACATTTTATTCAAACTTTTCTCTTTCATATTACATTTATTTTTAAAAAAGGCAACTTATAAAGAGGATATTTTAAAAAGAAAACACAATGGCTAGGAATCTAGCTTTATAGCTGTATAGAAATAAAAGATACCAAATGGAGTCCTTTATTAGTTTTTTAAATGACTATTTAAAACTCTTTTTTTGAGAATCCTTTCAATAAACATTTACTGAACAATCAGGTATCAGATGATGCTCTATTTTAGTAACACCAAAAGGCTATGGAGCTCGGAGCGTAGTGAAGAAAACAAATACGTAAATAATTATAATACTACGTGGTAAGTGCAGAGAGAAGCTCTACTCAAATATATATTAGAAATATGTGAGGAGAAATTGATGAAAGCTTCACAGAAGCTTAAGATGAACTTGCATTCTTTGAGCTGAAAAATAAAGGAAAGGACATTCTAAGTAGGCAGGCAGGAAAGTGAATGGTATGTTCAGAATCTAGTTTGAAAGGGCAAAAGCAAAGGTTTCGTGGAGAAGAGAGATGTGGGAAGACAAAAAGGATGGGAGTTGACTTTAAAGGCCAATGAAAAATGAATGTCACTGGCAGGTTCTGTGACTTTAAGCAAAATGACGTAGGAGTATAACAAAATCAATTTTACCAAAATCTAAGTGATATAAACAAGTTAAGTTCCTATGGCATCTCATCAATGTTATAACAACACTGAACAAAATGGTATTATTTGAGGACCTGCTGTATGAGGGTTCTTAAGCAAAAGAATAATATGATCAGATTTAAAAAAAAAAAAAGATTTTTATTTTTTAGAGAGACAGGAAGGGAGGGAGATGGGAAGGGAGCAAAATATCGATCAGCTGCCTCCTGCATGTCTCTTGCAAGCCCTGAACCAGGCACCATGGCCCACAACCTGGGGATGTGTCATGACCAGGAATCAAACTGGTGACCTTTTGGTCTGCAGAGCGATGCCCAATCCATTGAACCACACCAGTCAGGGCTAATCAGATATAGTTTTGAAAAATCCATCTGATGCCTGAGTTGAAGATGGACTGCAGGGGAAAAGAGAATGGAACCAGGGAGATCCATTAAGACAGTCCTGAAAGAGAGTGTAAACGCCCTAGCGGGGGAACAAAGCAGTGGGATTGCAGGGAATGAAACTGAGTTATTTCATAGGTAACAACAATGGCACAAACTGGGTGCTTGCAGTGAGGATCTAAGATGACCTCAAGCAAGGCAGATAGTCAAAGGCACGACAGGATAACGGACAATAAATATGACTCAGACATATTGGGTTGGCCAAAAAGTTCATTTGGTTTTTTCTGTAAGATGGCTCTACGTAGAGCTTAGTTGTCTTTAACTTCATTCAAAACAATTTTTTTAGGTATCATTGTGACAGCTGTCACATCAGTGTGCATTTAAAAAAAATCAAAATTGGTGAATTTCTGTGTAGCCATTTTAATACTGTAGAAGAAAATATGCAACATTTCCGGCATATTATGCTTTATTATTGCAACAAAAGTAAAAATGCAACAAAGGAAATAAAAGATTTGTACAGTGCATGGAGAAGGTACTGTGATTGATCAAACGTGTCAAAAGTTGTTTGCAAAGTTTTGTGCTGGAGATTTCTCACTGGACGATGCTCCATGGTCACGTAGACCAGCTGAAGTTGACAACAATCAAATGGAGACATTAACTGAGAACAATCCACATTATACCACACGGGAGAGAGCTGACATACTCAAAATATCCAAATCAATAAAGTTATTGGTGAAAATGAAAAATGTGTTTTTTATTTTACAGAAAAAAAACTAAATGAACTTTCTGGCCAACCCAATATGAACTCGAGAAGAGATGAAATAACATCAAAAAGTAAATTTAGTTGATTATTTCCCCATTTTTGACAATATTAATTGATCCGAAGTTGATAGTAGAACTGCAGATTAAAGTTCTCTTTTGATTTGCTATATGTAGTAGTAATATAGCTTGCCTTTGTTCTCTTGTTGCAGTTCTCTGATTTGTCTGTTTTCTTGCTGGATTCCCATAACTAATGTGGACCGTGGCCGATGTCTGGCAACTTCATTAAGTTCTTGAATTTCTTCCTGATACTAATGAAAATATTAAAAAAGGATATGTGGTAAGAAAATATTTGGAAATATAAATCTGAGACATATGTCTGGTAAGGATCTAGTATCCAGAACATAGAACTCTTACAAGTGAATGATAAGAAAAATAACCCCATTAAAACCTGAGCAGTAAGTTAAGAGATATAAGGTACGGACAGCATGGTGAGTTAACACTACTGTATTATGCACTTGAAAGCTGCTAAGAGAGTAGATGGTAAATGCTCTCACCACACACATGCAAAAGGTAATTAATTATGCGAGGAGAGGGAAATGTTAACTAACCTTATTATTGTAATCACTTCATAATATAGGATTAGCAAATCATCACATTGTATACCTTAAACTTACACAATGTTTTATGTCAATTATATCTCAGTAGAGATGGAGAAAAACCTAGCAAAGGATTTAGAGACATTGCTCTAAAGAAAATAATCAAATGGCCCACAGCACATGAAAAGATGCTTACATCATTAGTCACTAGGACAATGCAATACAATACAAGATACTACTTCACAACTGTTAGAATGACTTTAATCAAAAAGACAAGTAATAACAAATGCTGGAGAGAATGTGGAGAAATTGTAACCCTCACATGTTGTTGCTGGGAATGTAAAATGTAACTGCTCTGGAAAATAGTCTGACAGATCCTCCAAAAGTTAAACCAGAGCTATTATATGACTCATCCACTCCACTCTCAGTTATAGAGCCCAGATAACTGAAAACACGTCCACACGGAAACCTGTACATAAGTATTAGCAGCAGCATTGCTTACAATAGCCAAAATATAGAAACAGCCCAAATGTCCATCAACTGACGACTGATTGAGACAATATGACAGACCCTTACAATGGAATATTATTTGGTAATAAAATGGATGAGGTGTTGATTTCTGCTACAATATGGACGAACCTTGAAAACACAATTGAGTCACACAAAAAGTCCCATATTGCATGATTCTGTTCATATAAAATGTTCAAAATATGCAAATCTATCTAGATAGAAAGACTAATGATTGCCGGGGGCTGGGGAAAGACAGGGGCTTTGGGGTGAGACTATTCTGGAATTAATGATTATGGTTGCAAACCTGTGAATATTCTAAAACCCAATACATCATACCTCTCAAATAGTTAATTTTATATGTAAATTATATCTCCACAACATGTGCAAAAGAAATGCAATATTATTATTTCTTTTTAAAAAAATCCTCACCCAAGGAACTGCTTATTGATTTAGAGAGAGGGGAAGGGAGGCAGAAAGAGAGGGAGAGACACATTGGTCAGTTGCCTTTTGTATGTGCCCCAACCAGAGATTGAACCCACAACTCAGGCTGGTGCCCTGACAGGGAATTGAACGTGCGATGTTTGGTTTGTGGGATGATGACACCCAACCAACTGAACCATGTTGGCCAGAGCTATTTCTTTTCTTTTCTTTTTTTTAATAAGTAGGAATCTAACTTTAAAATTTTACTCCTTCATTTTAAGACATTTTGATTAGTCACTTAGTAACATAGTCCTTATTACATTCCTAGTTCTAAATTTGGTTGTCAAACTCCTTTTTTTTAAACAATCAGATGTATGAGGTCTGTCTGGAAAAAAGTCCAGCCATTGTTAATATAATGAGAATGGTTTGCACAACATCGATGTAACCTGGCAGCCAAGGCGAGTTCACTGTACTATGATGACTTCACTGTACTAGTCAGTGGGGGCAGCAGACACCATTGAGTGAGCATTATGTACTGTGTGGCCATTGCATTCAAAATGATTGAGGGAGTAGAGTGATGAATCTGCATCCAATTTTAGATTAAGCTTGAATATTCCTCCACAGAAACTATTCAAATGATTCAGAAGGTCACAGCTATGGGCAACTGGTGACTGGCAGCTTCATCATGACAATGCGCCTACTACTCATGCAGAGTGTTTTGGCAAAACATCAAATCACCCAGGTGACTCAGCCTCCCTACAGCCCAGATTGGGCGCCCTGAAACTTCTGGCTTTTCCCAGAACTAAAATCACCTTTGAAAGGGAAGAGATTTCAGACTGTCAATGAGATTCAGGAAAATACGACAGGGGAGCTGATGGCGACTGGGAGAGCTGTGGGAGGTCCCAAGGTGCCTACTTTGAAGCAGACTGAGGCATCACTGTCCTATGAACAGTGTTTCTTGTATCTTCTTCAATAAATGTCTCTATTTTTCATAGTACATGGCTGTATACTTTCTGGACAGACCTGGTATGTTCACTGGTATGCATGAGACAGCTGCACAATTAGGGAGGTATGTAATCTATTCAGGGCAACAGAGTTGCAAAACAAATGAAGTAAACTTGTTTCATTATTTTCAGTAGCTTTGATAAAAGCTTGATCCCAGAGTGCTTCCTTTTCCAAAATGAATGAGTTTCATAAAGGGTAGGCTATGAACATACATTGCCCTCCACTGATTTCAATGAGAGTATCAGATTTTACAATTCTCTTAGAGTTGAAAATTTTTATAAGAGGGCTTAAATTTTAGCTAAACTCCACAGACCACAGGAAAGTTCTTATATGCAAAACTAAGGATAACAAGAAGTGAAGCCCTTTTCACTTCTTTTTTTAACTGACAGCATTACATGTAAAATAAGGTAGCAAGTACAAATGCAGTAACTGCATGAGCTGTAAACTAGATACTGCCCTGCGTTATTTTTTTTTTTAATTTAGTGTTAAATTCACCTAAGTACTTTTAGAAAGAAAAATAAATATTTCTACATTATAAAAATGAGAGCAAAATGTCTATATTAGTAAATGACATTATCTTGTCTTTGTCAAATATATTTAGACTGAATCAATTAATATATTTTCTAAATTCAAATGTGTGTCTTTCAAAAAAGTGATCAGGTCTACAGTATTACAATATACATAATACATGTGTGAGATGACAAAATTATATTCTAAAGTAAAACTGAAACATATAATTCAAGCTACTTTTAAATTTTAGAGGGAATGTTAAAAAAATAAATACTAATGAAGTACAAGTCAGTGATTCAAGCAATACATAAATGCCAATGACTGCTTTTTTAAAAACTAGAATCAACAAAAAAGAAAAAACCAAACCTGCTTCATTGCTTCTACTCGCTTGTTGAGAGCTGTGGTCTGCTCAATCAGGGATTCTGCTGCATCGTCATGATCTCTCAGTCTTTCAACAAGAGCTTTAGCATCAGCAAGTGCCTTTTCAATTGTGCAACTCATTTCTCAAGGAATATCTATAATTAAAATTAAAATTAAGATCAAAAACAAAGCTAGTATACCATCTTATTTTAGCTTCGTGTTAACATATATATGCTTCTGGAGCTACATTTATTACAGGATTGTCCATTCTCTGGGGAGAAAAAAACATTTAAGAACAACAGTGGTGTTGCTTCTGTTAGGATGGCAGAAGCTTGAAAGTGAATTTATAGTATTTGAAAAAGTTAGACAATATATAAACAATTTGCAAACATAATCAGAATGTATGTAAAATACCCTGAATTTATAATGGGGAAAAAAGTACACATACAATTAATACATTTTATACTAAACAGAAATCGTGCTCTTCGTAAGGGCACTGCCAGTCTTGCCGTTTGTGAAAAATGTCATTTTGCTTGTCTATCCTGTAGTCAATCTGACTATAAGATCCTTCCTAGCTTCTGCTTGGTCGGGCTACCTGAGACAATGTTCACAAACACACACTACTGACCAGCTGAAATGGCACCTATGCGTCATGATAAATCAAAGTGTCAACTGTCTTCTGGTGAACTTCTGCTTCTTATATAAAGTTGCATTAATTCCACTGCCCCCCTATACCTGCCCAGCAGTCACCAGCTTTTTCTCTATATCCATGGGTCTGTCTCAATTGTTTATTCATTTGGTTTTTTTTTTTTTTTAGATTCCACGTATAAGTGAAATCATGTGATATTTGTCTTCCTCTGACTTATTTCATTCAGCATAATACATGTTACCTCAAAGGGCAAGATTTCATTTTTTTATTGTTAATATTCCATTGTGTGTACATATATACATATGTATAAAATATGTATGCATATATATGTGCATACATATATACACATGTATATAAATGCACATGTATCACATATATGCATATATGCACACCCATATATGGGGGGTGTGTGTACACACACATCCCACTTCTTTATCCATTTATCTATTGATAGACATCTAGGTTGCTTCCTTATCTTGGCTATTACTAGTAATGCTGCAATGAGCCTATGGAGGCATGTATCTTTCCCACTTAGGGTTTCGGATTTTTTGTTTTGTTTGTTTTGATAAATACTTGAGATGGAATTGCTGGATTGGATGGCTGCTCTATTTTAATTATTTAAGGAATCTCCAGACTGCTTTTCCTAGTAGCTACACTAATTTATAATCCCAGCACAGTATATGAGGGCTACTTTTTCTCTACGTCCTCATCAGCACTTACGGTTTGTTGGTTTATTGATAGCCATTCTGGCAGATGTGAAGTGGTATTTCATTGTGGTTTTTAATTTGCATTTCCCTGATGATTAGTAATGCTAAGCATCTTTTCATGTTTATTGGCTGTCTGTATGTCCTCTTAAAAGAAATATTTATTCAGGTCCTTTGCCCATGTTTTAATTGGACTGCTTTTTTTCTGTGTGTTAAGTTGTATAAGTTCCTTATATATTTTGGATATTAACCCCCTTATTGACTGTATCATCTGCAAATATCTTCTCCCATTCAGTAGATTGTCTTTAATTTTGTTAATGGCTTCCTTTGCTGTGCAAAAACTCTAGTTTGCTGTAGCCCCGTTTGTTTATATTTTCTTTTTGCTCTTGCCCGAGGAGAAATAGCCAAAAATATTGCTAAGAGCAGTAGCGAAGAGTTTACTGTCCATGTTACCTTCTAGGAGTTTTATGGTTTCAGGCCTTACACTTAAGTCTTTCATCCAGTTTATTTTTGTATATGGTGTACGAAAATGTTCCCATTTCATTTTTCTCATGTGTCTCTCCAGTTTCCCCAACACCACTTATTGAAGAGACCAAAGGATTTACCTTCTAAAATTTGAGAGGTTTAGATAAAGGTATTTGTAAATATGATAAGTGAAAGAACCATTAAAGGAGCCAATGTCCCAAACTGACTAAAACACAAAAGGACAACTATCCAAAATCTGTCCAAGACGCTGCTATAAGAGAGAACATGCAACAATGCCCTGTACTTCCTCTAAACTTCAAAGGGAATTACCTTAAAAAAAAAAAAAAAAAAAGAGGACAGTGGGTAGGGCAAATTGGGTTATAAGTAAAACATAAAATATATTTGTTTTACAATAAAAATAACTGGTTGTAACAGATGCTGGTTGTAAAGAAAATGATTAAAAAAATCTGAAAGTCTAGAGAAAGTCGTAAAAGACTTGAGGGAGATAAAGTTTATCTTGGTTTAATAGAACAACTCAAGTACTAAAAATCCCTAACAATCCCAGGTCTCAACTGTAAGTGATATTATTGGGACCACTATCAGAACAATACTTCTTTATGCTCTGTAACACAACATCTACAAATTTAGTAAAAGGACCTGTTTTCAAATAAAATTCACTAAGATTCCTATATATGATCAGATGATAGGTGATTTAGGCATGACCTATAGTATGTAAAATTCAGTAAGATGCAAAAAAAACAAAAACAAACAAAAAAACCTATGCTTCCAGAATCCTTGGGCAAAAGAGTCCACAGGCATAGATTAATTGGAACTGAGCCCTGAATCTAGATGAAGCCTTTCTAGATAATCATACATCTTTCTCCTTTTTGAAACATGAAAAGGTTATGCTGTGTTCTGGGAATATTAACTGCACAACATGGCACCTGAGGTCCACTGCCTACTAAATCCCATACCTTAATTCAGTAGCTAAGGCTCAGCCTCCTTCTCTCAGTAATAGGCCTCCACTAAACCATCTTTAGAGCTTATGTTAGGTTTTTAAACCTAATGTAATCACATGCAGCTACAGGAAGCCACCCTAAAATTTCTACTGGCTGAATAATTATGAACTATTGTTACTTTCTCCTTTTCATATTACCATCGACTGGAGTAACACTGTTACTCCAACAACACTACCTATTGAAAGAGAACCTTATGATTGTGTTTTCACAGACCAAGAAATGCCCAAACTTAAATTTTGATTTTTCTAGTACCAAATCATGAGTTTACTGTGTTAATGAATTTTATATTAAAGCAAAAAGTGATGATAGACACTTCAGTCACTCTGATAAAATTAAACTTCTTATGAGAGGCCAAATTGATCACATGATTTAACTGTGACCTTCTAAGACGGAGCAACTTGCTAAAATAAGAGTAAATTTATGTACTAATAGCTGGATCATTTTGGGAATAATTTACTTCTTTGAGATGTTACAAAGAAAAGACATTCTTCAGATAACCCTTAAAAACAACAATTATATTACTTGATGGCTTGATGCTACCTAAAACAATGGTAGAAACACACAATAAAAAAGATACTATATGAGATAATTTACTATACTATAGATACTATGAAGCTATTTTAAAATACTCTAAATAAAAAGATTGCTTTGACTAAAAGTCCTTATGCAAGGGCCTTATATAAAACAAGAACATCATAACAAATTGATGGAGAAGTTTAAAAATTCTATCAGACACACAAAATCTGACCTGACAAATTTCAAAAAGAAACTGGGGTGACCCAGTTGTAAAATCCATGAGATAAAAGCTGCCACTATCAGAATGGCTACCTGATACCACCAGATAAAAGCTCAGATGCACAAGATATTCCATGAAACCTCCCGTATTAGCAGGAAAAAAAATATGCCACAATATTAAACACTGATGGGAAAATGTGATGGATTAGCAAAGGGTGTGACCCAGTGTATACCTTATTTTTTGTGAATAAATTAATCTGAAAAAATTGTGAAGCTGAAGCAAGGACTAAAACCATTCTTAAAGAATTTTTCTAACATCTCCTACTGGATTTGATAGGGTAACCTTTCTTTATGGTTTAAGAATATGTAATGTTTCTAAATATACCGATAAACATATTAGTATGTTTCTGTTACGGTTGGGTTGAAAAAGTTCTCTGTTGAAAAGCCATAATAAAATGGGGACACCTGTAATTGAACAATAAAAAAAATTAAAAGAAAAGCCATAATACTCAAAATGGTTAAAATACTATTATACTTTGTGTCTCCTACTAAGGACATGTTAAGTTTTTGATCAATTAATATGAAAATATATTTAAGTGGTTTACGGCCATACCACCCTGAATGTGCCTGATCTTGTCTGAAAATATATTTAACTGAAAAAATTATTATTTTTCTTTTCTTTCTTTCATTTTTTAAAGCCTCATCTGAGGATATGTTTATTGATTTAAGAGAGAGAGGAAGGTGGAAAGAGAGAAACATTGATGTGAGAGACAAACACTCAACAGTTGCCCCCTGTATGTGCCAGACTGGGGATCTAACACGCAACCTAGTTGTGTGCCCTGGTTAGAAACTGAACCTGTGACCTTTTTTTTTTTTTTTAATTCAGGACAGGTAGTCTAATGGCAAACCACACACAAATCCAGAATTACAAAGAAGGGGAGTGTTTTTTTTTTGTTTTTTTGTTTTTCATTTTGTAATTATTTTTTTATTTTTATTTTTAATTTATTTACTTTTTAAATACATTTGTCTCTGCCTCCCCCCCCTTTCCCTTGCCCCCTCCCACCTTCCCTCCCTCAGCTCTTCCCCTTTGGTTTTGTCCATGAGTCCTTGCTATATGTTCCTTGCCTTTCCCCTTCCCTTAAAAATATGGAACGCTTCACGAATTTGCGTGTCATCCTTGCGCAGGGGCCATGTTAATCTTCTCTGTATCGTTCCAATTTTAGTATATGTGCTGCCGAAGCGAGCACTGAACCTGTGACTTCTTCGTGTAGAGGATGATGCTGTAACCAACTGAGCCCTCTGGCCAGAGCTGGGACAATTTTGTAATGAATTTAAATTATGCAACATTTTGCCTCTTTCTTGGGAATTTTCCTGTTTTCATTATTCCCAGACCTGAAAAAAATCCCAAAAAGGATAAATCCAAGAAGGTGCAAGCTCAGACATATCATAATCAAATTTCTGAAAACTGAATACAAATAAAAACCTTGAAAGGCAGTAGAGAGTGGAACACTTATAGTGCTGATAAAACAGCTGTCAACCTGGAATCCTATATCCAACAAAAACTGCCTTCACATAAGAAGGTGAAATAAGAATCATTCTCAGATGAAGAAAAAAGCAATTCATTTCTAGATCTGTTCTAAAAGAAATTCTTCAGAGACAAGCAAAATGGTATCAGAAGGAAACTCAGAGCATTCAAATTAAAGGAAGAGTAATAGAAATTGTTAATATCTAGATGAATATAGTAAACTAATTTCTTCATGAGTGCTTTAAAACGTAATATTTGAAAATAAGAACTGTAACTTTTGTCTCATGAAATTTCCAACTTATATAACTAAACATAAAGTTAGGAGGTTAGGTGGACCTATATAGTAATAACATTTCAACATTTTACTTGAAATTATAAAATGTCAATTATAAGTAGAATGTGAAAAAGTTACATACATGTATAGTAATTCCTAGAAAAATGTCTAAAAAACTGTAGAGATAATACCTTATTTATTAACATAATGAGGAACAGGACAATCTGGTTAATTGTACAGTATATATCATGGTATTCAACTGAATTCCCTACCCCCAGGGAAAGTCAAAAATATACAATAACCCAAAGAAAATGAAAAACAGAAACAAAGGAATAAAATATTAAAAGAACAAGCAGAAAACAAATGATACCATGGTGAACCTAAATCTAAATGTATTAATAATTACACTAACTATAAATGTTCTAAACACACTAATTAAAATACAGATTATCAGGATGAATTTAAAAAGCAGGGCCCAACTGGATATTGTCTATACAAAACTCACTTCAAATATGATGTAGGTAGGTTAAAAGTAAAAAGATGGAAAAATATACATTAATAAACACTAATCAAATGAATGATAGCACCAGGCAGCACTGAAGAAGACAGGCTAGTACAACACTGGAAATAGTTTCTGATCTCCAGTCTAGCACTCTATTCAGGAGCCAAGGTGGATCCCCAAGACACTGTTTGCTTTTACTTATATATTGTGAAAACCTCTTAGTCTCCTTAGCTGGAAAAACAAAGCAAAAAACCTGACCCTACTTCACTAAGTAGAATTCTAAAGTATTTTTAAAAAACATGTCAAGCCAGCAATAGAAAATAAATAAGAGTGTAAATGAAGAAAGGATGAAAAATAACAAAATTTCAAAAATTTTTCCTTATAACTAATAAAACCCTAGCATCCATTTTAATTAGGCATTATAGTTAATTATAAAACCAATAATAAATGTTTACAGATAGGTTTTTTGAAATTACAATTAACATTCACTTATAAAAACATTCCCTAGATTGCATAAAAGTACTACTATAAAAATAAACTATATTTAAAATGTGTTTTATAACTATAAAAATAATGCTATTCAGAAAAGTGAATTTTAAACATCAGGTAATTCAAAGCATAATTTTATTAGCATTTCAGTAAAGCAGTGACACAGAGTTTCTAAGAATCTGTATGTTCATTTCCTGTATGTGAAACCACAGAAAAGTTTAAAATATTTTATAATATGCATTTACTTTGCCACCATTTTTTGAAAAACATTGTTTTTCTCTTCTTCTTTGGTTGGCAAGTGGAGTGGGAGGAAGATTGTTTCCAAATTCTCTAACAAGTTTTAAAAATAGAATACAGTTACCAAAAAAAAAAGTATTCTTAATTTATCTGCCTATTTTTATAGTACTTATCTTAATTAATACTTACATTATCTTCTACAGGTACGCCCAAATTACAGGTGAAATTTTTCTAGAGCAGGTTTCCACCCGCATTAGCTATATTCTCACCCACTTTTCCACCCAAAGACATTCACAGTCAGGCTCTTGGCAGAGGGTTCAGAACATTCTGCTGCTAATAAAAGAGAAACCACCGCCCACCCATGACAGCAACTGACAGCTGTTTAGTTTTAGATTTTGGTTAACAAAATTTTAAAGAAATTCAAGTCACTCATTTCTTTTTTATCCACAAATCCAGTATGCTACAGCTGGGCCTACAGAAATATTGTGACTACTGATAAGCCATTCACTGAAGTGTCTTCAAATGTCAACAATCTAGTTTAGTTAAAAGCCTTTTTAGATTGCTCAGGCAGGAACCTAATGGCAATTAGTAGATAATATTAACAGACACGTACGGAAATAGAAACATAAAAAGGCATAGTATGGCTTTCTTATAAACTTTTAATTTAAAAAAATGTAGAAAGAAAGCATGTAAGTTACATGTAAAAATAATCACCTTACACAGGCACATCAGTGTATTTGAAAGCACAGAAAATTTTCAGTCCTTGAACATGATGGAATGAACACATCTGAAGTTTTACAAAGCAGCTATACGAAGAAGATAAATTTTTAAAGTTGGAAAAAACAAAATTTGAAAGTAAGGACACAGAAGAATTTTTTGAAATCACATGTTACCTTAGAATTGTGGCTAAATATAAGTTGCATTTATATATATATAAAATACGTATATAATAAACATATTATTATATAACAGATATATATTTTTTCCAAACAGTTATGACCATTCAAAAAGGAAATAATCTAACTTAAATCAGTTACTTCTAACCAATGGGCCAAGAAGTCATTGGAAGAGTTGCATGGATGTACATACACCAAAAGCACGGTATTTCTCTCACACATATAGCGCACTATTTTTCAAATACAGACACATATTCGTATTAAAAAATCAATTAAAAGTATAGTAGTTTTTTGCCATTATGCATAATTTCAATCAACAAATACTAAAAGTACAACTACTTCTGTGCTGGGGCTCCACGGTTCCTTATATTCAGAACAGGTAAGTGGTCATTCAGCTAATATTCAAGGTTCCTTCTGGCTCTAAAAATTCTGATTTTAGGGGCACTTACAACTCCAATGGTGAATCTTTATAACTATTATAAATATTTATACGTGTGTGTATATATATACATATATATACACACATATATATAAAAATGCCTATGTACCAAGGATTAGACTAGCGTTTGCTACAAAGATGACTTAGACATGATTCCAGAAACAAGCTCAAATTAGCACAAGAGACAAGTTGTATTATATGAACAAATAATACAAGCTTATAAATATCGCAGAACTGTTTCAAGTGCTTTGGGAGCACAGTAGTATTATCAATGTCACCTGGGGGATCTGAGGTGACAATGATCTATGAACTGGGTTTTGATAGGTAGTAAAAACAAAAATAAAAAGGGAAGAGTAAGCATTCTAGACAGATGGTGCAGCACATACAAAGGCACAGAGCTGTGAATGTGCATAGCATGGTTGGGGAAACCGCCAGTTGTCTCGTATGGCTGGATAGTAAGGCAGTATTTGGAGACGCAAGATGAGACTAAAAAGGTAAAACAGATTGGGACAGATAGTAAAAAGTCCTGCTTACCCATTGGGAAATAATTCTGTCAGCAATACGGTTATTGAAAAAAAGTTTAAGGAGTGATATAAACAGATCACTGTTGAATTTCAGAATGATAACTCACTGGGAAGGGTGATGGTGGGGAAACTTAGCTGGGGGAGGAACACTGCAACAATGCCGGTGAAAGAAATAATACGTTGCAGTGCGTGTGGAATTGCAGAATCAAGGACGAAAGTGTCCAGTTTGGACAGCAGGATGGATACTGGTACCATGCAAAAATGGGATGCAGAAGAAAGGGAGGAGGAACTCCAGGGAAAAAAGTAGTATTCCTCGGAGGGCAGTTTCGAGAAAAAGGGAATAGCTGTCCATGTCCTGTGCTGCAAAGAGGTAAAGTGAAAACCGAAAGGGTCCTATTTTCCTCCCTTCAAGGGTGAGCTCCCAGGTGGGTTAGGCAGGAAGAAAACCGATAAGGAAGGTGTGTCCAGAGGACCAGGGCCAAAGCTTTTCATTAAACTTTCCGCACTTTAGTCCCGGAAAGAAGAGCTCAGAGCTGATGCCGGGGAGGGGAAGTACCGCTCCCAGGAGGGGGTAACCGGCGGGGGGAAATGACTAGGGCCGGTTGGTCGGTAGTTCGAGAAGGGAAAAGCACCAGAGCGGCCCAGGGAAAGGAAGCTTGCGACTCCCTGTGCCTGTTCTTGTCCCTGGATTTATTCCACTTACTCTGGTCTCAGTCCCTCGGAGCCGTCAACTGTGGCGATAAGGACTCAAAGCCTCTGCCAACGGGGACCTATGCACCCAAGGTAAGAGAGTCCTCTTGTTTGTTCACCTGCTTCAGCGAGCAGACGCAGAACACAGCACAGGTAGTCGAGGGGTAGCTGCAGGGTCAGCGGGGATCGGCCCCATCACTGGCCCCGGGAGCCGAGACCAACTAGCGCTCCCACAGCCCTTCAGCCTCGCGAGATTTTCTTTTTTGCGTCACCGTGGGGGCAGAGCCAAGAGTTTTATTTGCACCTTTCACTGACATGCGCGAGAGATGGGGGCAGGTCCTCTCTAAGTCCCTCCCCATTAATCTACTCAGGTTTTTGCTTGGTTTCTCACAAAGTCTCGCGAGTTTTGCCGGGGAAACCGGCCTAGGTGAAGAGACCGAGACGGGGAGACCGGGTGGGAGGGCCTTTCGCTTAAGGGCCTGTGTCTGGTTTAACCGGTGCTGTGGTTGGTACTTCGCTGATGGGGAAGCGCTCAGGCCGCCCGGAACAAACTGCCCAATGGGTGATTGGGAAAATTAGCGGGTAGAAATTGTTGAGGGTCGTAGGCATTTTTTTTTTTCTTGGCTCCGCCCTCTTCCTGTTCAGCGACCTGGGCGTCTGGCCCACCGCGGGGGAAGGGCAGCTTGGCGGGGCCGTCGAGGAGTGCTTTGCGCACGCGCGAATCCTAGTGTGTGAGTGTTTGTGTTCACGCGCACGCGCGCGCGCTCCCGCATTTAGGAAGCTTGGGAAGAACCGGTGTGCTAAGAGATGAACGGAGAAAGCATAGTCCCCTGTCTTTGGTACCAGACACTCCTGACCGTGCGCTGACCCTCCCCACCCAACCAGCAGCCTTTGCCAGAGAGGCTGTGGTCCATAGCCTCTGTTCGTTTTCACTTCAGGACCAGGCACGAAAGTAAGCTAACCTCAATCCTGAGGTCTTCCTTATCCACTCACCTTGTACTTTCCACCCCGCACCCTCCAGCAGAGTGTGTCTAAATTTCTCAAAGAAGAGTTTTGCATGAAGGGGAAATGCGTTTGAAAGCAGTAAAAGAAAATAGCTGGATCGTAAAAAGTCAGTTCGTTTTGATGAACACTTTTGCTCTGCTTACCATGTGCTTTTTGAATGTCTCTTTTCTATTCAGTATCAGATTTTATTAACGAAGCAAGGGAGTTTTTATAAGAAAAAGTTTTAAAAGTTTCTCCTCCGCACCAGTGTGATGGTAGCAACTGAGTTTTTCTGTTCTACGTGATAAATTACTGTGGAGTTTCAAAAGCTAAGGGGAACAGTATGAATTTGGGGTCTTTATCCTAATGCAAAGACCAGACATGCAGTTATGTTAGATGTCTATTATGTTTTGGTCTTTCCTATTGCTGTCACTTTTATTTCCTGTTAATTCCCCCACCCCTCCCCTTTCAGGAGTCTTGAGACTTTTTGGAGGGAAGCTCAAAACTGCTGACTTAGGTTAGTTTGGGGGTTTATATGTGATTGCTGTCAAGTAGCAAGGATCATCAAAAGTGTATTTGAAAAATATTTGTCATTTATTATGTTTGGTATTATGTAAGAAAATCAAGTGCTATTATTTGTAAAAGTATTTTCTTTTGACCATTTTAAGTTTATTCAAAAAGCAAAAAAAAAGTATGGACTGTAATTTTGCCTGTTACTGATAGAATGCAGATGAATATGGTGTATTTCATATCTTGAATTGATAGCTACTTTCTGATATGGACCTCATTAAATCTCGTCCTTTGTTGGGTAAATTTCTTTGGGTACTGATTATTAATGTTCCCTACCAAATCTTCTTGAAGAAAAGACACATTAATTAGAAATAATTTAAGATATAAAATGTTAAGTATAAAACATTTGACTAACATATTTTATCTCTTACAGGTTAAATCAAAATGAAGATTTTTTCTGAATCTCATAAAACAGTATTTGTTGTGGATCACTGCCCTTACATGGCAGAATCATGCAGACAGCATGTTGAATTTGATATGCTGGTGAAGAATAGGACCCAAGGAATCATCCCATTGGCCCCCATATCTAAATCATTGTGGACCTGCTCAGTAGAATCTTCCATGGAATATTGTAGAATAATGTATGATATATTTCCTTTCAAAAAGCTGGTGAGTGTGAAGTACAAGCAAAATGATGATTTTGGGGATATACTTAATTGCCTAATACATCTCTTTATGTATGAACTTGCTGTAGATTTGACTTAGAACAGTTTGTTTACTACTTAATAATGTGATATATAGAATTCCTCTTTGGGATTAAATGTCATGTGTATTTAATTGGGACCAACAGTAACAGCTAACAGTTATGGAGCACTTGCAGGTGCCGGATATATTCTAAAGTGCTTCATATGTATTAACTCCTCTAATTCTCATAACAGTCTAATAGGGTAACTACTATAATTACTAGGATAATATTCAAAGTACATAATAACCAAAATGGAATAGGCACTGGCCATTGATGGTTGCCAGCATAAGCAGCAGGGATGCTAGCTGTAAGCAGTTTGTCAGACTGTGTTGGCATGTACCCACTGAATATCAGCTTCGTGTATTACTGCCACGATGGAGATGTAGAAACTGAGGTAAAGAAAAGAAACTTATCCTGAGTCATATAGCCAGTTAGAGGCAGAACCAGAATTCGAACCTAAGCAAGCCGGCTGCTTATGTAGTTTTAGTGAATGTGTGCTAAGTCTCTGCAGCATTTAGCCATATTAGACAGTAATGCTCTTAATGCTAAGCGGAAATTGTTTTTATCAATAGGAAGCGAAATTACATACTGATAGACATTTTCAATTATAAAAATTTTCTTTCGGTTTCAGAATCTCAACTGTTTTATTCTGGGAAAGTCATTTGGTTAGCCTTAAGCGGCTAATTTATTTTCTGTCTCATTCTGGAGCAGCCTAGGCTGGGACCTAGCCAAATCTTAGATTGGCATAGGCAGGGCAACACAGTAAGGCTGAACAGAGAGAGTGTAATATTTTACATTCGGATATATTCCAAATTCAAATATAAGTTTTAGTCCCACTGCAGATTGTGCATTATGGAGCGGGGGGGAAAAAGAAAAACATGAGAAAAGGGAAAATTTAGTGATTTAGGGCACAGACTTTGGCTCAAATTCTGTCATTCTTAGCTACCAGCAGTGTGACCTCGATCATACTGCCTAATTTCTCCAAGCCTGTTTCCTCCCACGTAAGCATAACGCCTACTTCCTATGATTATTGTAAGATTTCAAGGAGATAATACAAATAAAGTGGCTAGTAAAATATATTCCCTGTCTGATAATGCTTAGGAGGGAGGTCTACTTATCAAACTTATGGGGGAAGCAAACTAGTATTTCATGGATATTAGGAAAAAAGATCATGGACTAGATCATATAGTTCAAGGGAAAGAAATCTCACCATTTTCCCAAAAGGAACATAGACATCATTTTATATATTTTCTAATATATCCTTACTGTCATTATCTTACTTAATAGTATTTTTTGGTTTGCATCTTACTCTAAAATTTAGAATAAAGTCCAAATCCATTATTTTGGATTTCAGTGCCCTATGTGATATGGCTACCGCCTATTTTTCTGAGCTTAACTCCAGCCCTTCTATCTGCTCTGACTTTTACCCTTTCGAGGGTGCTCGGAGACTTGCATTTGCTGTTTATCTGGAATTCCTATCCCCAGCTCTTTCTGTGGCTGGTTCTTTTGGTCATTTTGGATTTCCTCCAGTTGCCACTTCTATAGAGAGCCCTTGTCTATCCAACCAACCTAAGATAGTTAATCACCTTTTTCATTACATTTACCACTCTCTGAAATTATCTCGTTTGTTTGTTTGTTCCTTGCACTGCCCTCTTATTTTACCACACCTGCCAAACTCCCGGCTCTCCCCACATTGTGACAGAACTGTTTTATTCCTCACTATAATCCCGTATCCCCAGTGCTGAGAATAGCATGTGACATGTACTAAGCATTCTGTACATTCATAAAATGGATGAATGACTCAATCAGCAAATCAGTGCTAGAGACTTCATATTATTTTAATTTTTTCTAGTAGCAAACTTTACACTTTAAATATGATGTGATCAAATGAAATTGGAGTTGAATACTAATTATTTCTTTGAAATCTATTAGGTGAATTTCATTGTAAGTGACTCTGGAGCACATGTTTTAAATTCTTGGACTCAAGAAGACCAAAATTTGCAAGAGGTATGATTAGGTTTTGAGCTGTGGATGTGATAATACTTGATTAAAAATGATTTAATTTTTTTTATCAACATAGTATTTAGACATAATTTTAAAACGCCAATAACTAAAAGAAAAACAGTTATCTTCATTCCAGTCTTTTCCCACTTCTAGAAGCAAACATTCAAATCTAGCTTATTTATTATTTATTGTACTTCTGTATTTCTAAGTAACATTTTTTTTACTGCCATTTGTATAGCTCATGGTTAAACTTTATTTATCATTGTTGTTGATGAGCATTTACCTTGTATATTCCTTCTCACCCATAAGAATATGCCTGCCCCCTTCCCTTTCTTCATTTTCACAATATTGTTATATCAGAATTTTTGGTTAATTCACGATTCATACTTTATAATGTCTGTATAAAGTGTTATTAACTGCTAAGCTCTGTGATATATATGATTATTTCCTTTTTTTAAGGTTTTATTGAGCTATGGGTGACATAACAGTATATATAATGCCATACATCGTTATATAAGTTTAAGGTGTGCAGCATAATGAGTTGACTTACGTATTATTTCCTTTCTTGTACAACTTTTTGATCCTGGAATTTATCATTTCCTTTTTTTCCCCCTAAATTTGCTTATTTTTCTGTGTATCTGTTCCTCCCTTCCCTCTATAAAACTTACCAATTTTTTAAAAATCGTAACTGTGTTAGAAATTTAGCAGTTTGATTTATTTTTCCTTTAAATCCTTGGAGTGCAGTCTTCTGCTTCAGTTTGAAGTGGCTGCTTTCTAGGCCTGGTGTAGTGTGGTCATCCTCCTCTCTCTCACTGTTTTTCAGATCCCAATTTTTTCCTCTTTTTCTTTGATCTCTTGTTTTGGTAGAGTATAATCTCCAGAGTTTCTGTAACTTACCTTACACTTCATTGATACTTGCGGTATAGACATTTCAGGTTGGAATTAAATTATTCCTCAAAATTCCGAGGGTATTACTCCACTGTTTCATAGCATCTAGTGTTGGTGTGAAGTCTAGTATCAT